TTGAATATATTTGTATAATATTATAAATTTTATTTAAAATGACATTTGATAATCAGTAAATTATTTTTATAATCAATATAATAATAACAATTTATGTCTGTATTATATGTAAAACTTAAAACATTTGTTGAAACCATTAACTATTCAATGTTTTATATAGTATTGTATAAACACTATTAACCGTCAAATGGGATGTGATTTCTTTTTTTACGGATAATGTATTTTACAGTAATTTACTTTTGATTACATTTTTACTGATATTATCAATAGTTATAACGATAACAAATAGTTATATTAAACTATAATAAATGTATATTTGACTTTATTGAACTTGTTTACTGGTTTTCATACAAATTGTTTTGTGAGTTATTAGTTTTATAATGTATATTATATACAATATTATAATTCATTTTTTGATAATATAAATTTACTAAATCGATATAATATTTTTTATTCATCTATTATACCTAATTATATGCAAATATATTTTAAATGTATCAAAGCTGAGCTATAATTACATTAACTTATTAATATTTTTCTTTGTAATTGATAATATAAAAAGATAGATACAAATCATCAGATATTCATATTTTACACAATTGTATTGTATTTATCTATAAAAGATTAGTGCAATCAGTGCTAACCTTAACATTATTTGTGAAATTCATATCACAATAGAGTTTAATATTAATATCACGAATACAAACGGCAAATGTTGTGTGAAGTTATCAAATGATTTGATAGAAAAGCCTAACGTTTGGCATGACTTGCGGTGAGAAAGTGTTGGCCTTATATTTAAGACATTTTTATGAAGCTTTCAAATGGACAGACATTTGATGTAACCTTTTATATTAAATTAACTGTTCATTTCTAAAACCATATACTGTATATCACTAATTTATTTTAAATTATTCATATTATTAAATATTTGCAATTTTTTCAAATTAATGATAATAAACAGTGAATATTGAATAATTTATTAAATACTGTACTCATATCCAAAGTTTATTAATATTGAAAATATACGCCAATACTTGAATTAAAGTTTTATTACATTTATTACATGTGTTTGTTTGAACTTTTCTATTAATGAATTTATTATTAATCTTTTTGCTTTATACTTACAATTTGATAAAATATACAAATATTTATTAACATACCATACAGTATACTGTATACAGTATGCATATACAGTATACTGTACTATAGTATAACATCAAACAACTTGTTTATACAATACATTGAATACAATACAGTATACTGTAATGTATACACAATTTATATGTTTCACTGAAGAATATATTATATAAATAATTACTAAAACTCTGTATGTATTGATGAAGACTTTCTCTTCATTTTGTTATATAAGTTATAATATAACTCTCTTTTTCTCCTTATTTCTCATTCACTTACCATTAGAGTTGAATATCCTTTAGATATAAATTTATTTATTCATATAATACGTGAAAGCTTCGGGTGCTTAAAAAGTACTCAACGATAGCTGTCAGTGATTCAAATGTTATATTGAAAAATAGATAGATAGTTACAGTAGGTATGTGTGTGTGTGTGTGTGTGTGTGTGTGTGTGTGTGTGTGTGTGTGTGTGTGTGTTATGTAAAAGAAAATTTGCAATTTTCAGGAGTTTTAAAATCAGTGGTTGCATTGAAAATACTATTTAACATCATTTGAATCTATCAATCAATTATTATATAACATAAATTGTATTTTTAATAAAAATAAATACTAATTTATTTTTTTTGGTATAAATTAGTTTGTTGGTATGGTCAATAATTTAAAAAATTGTAAATCAATCAATTCATATTTTTTAGATAAAATTAATTTATATTTATTATATAAGTAAAATTAAATATATAATGATGGCTTAATATTAGAAATAAATAAAATAAAATTTTTAAAAATAATATTTACTAATATGTGTTATATCTTATATTAATTATAACTTTAACTATTGTGTTATTATGTTTGTTATTGATAAGAGATTGTTAGTCATTGTTTTGTATGAAATTGTGGTCAAGGCTTATCTTTATTATTCATTAAATTAAAATAAATATATTAATTACAAAATAATATATTGTTAATTAAAGATGTATAGACAATCTACCTGGTTAATTGGTGATTATAAATTTAATATAACTAATAAAAATTTAAATAACCGTAACAATTATGTAATTTTAAAAATTCATTATTTTGAAAATATATTTTTCTGATTTTATATACAGTACTCAAAAATACTTTTTACAGTATATTAAGATTATGAGTTTCTGTAAACTTTTATCATTTATTGTTATATTAATTTTTAAAAATAAGTTTGATTCCGGGTTTAACTCAATGATAAATAATAATAAAAGCATTCGTATTTAAATTCAAATAAATATGTATTGATATAAACATTATATACATTATCTATCATATTATAGCATCTTTTACAACTAGAATCCATATATTTATTTTATTATTTATAATAATATTATTTATTGCAATATTAATAGTATTATTTTTAAAGCATTCAAAATTATGGATATTAGTTAAGATAAATAAAGTTAATGATTGTTAAATTATATGACTTGTTTGTTGTTATATTATCATTGTTATTGATCATTGCAATGCAAATATAAAATATATTTAATTTTTTTATAAAATGTAAATGATATTTGATTTAATAGATTAATATTTTAATATAGTGATATTTTAATATAATCAGATTGTTTATTTAAATTTACATTCAAATGACTTTTTATATTTTAAAAACGTTATATTAATTTATAAAATTAAATATTAATAAATAAACATTTTAGATATTTTAAAGGAAGCGTCGGCCGATCAAAAAGATTTTAATATTATAGTATAATATTATGATATTAATAAAATAAATGATAAATGATAATAAATATGTTAAAGAAGTAAAAAATACTAGTTTTGTTAATTAAATAAAAGTTAAAAATTAAATTTTAATTAGATATATAAAAAATTTATATCTGACTTTCATTTGACAGTAAATACGATTTTATTGTCATTTTTTTCATTATATCTTAAGTAAATATTGACAGCGAATGACATTAAAAATATTAAATAAAGTAATAATATTTTTATGAATAAAGTATTTTGAGTTTTATTAATCATAATATTTAAAGAATTTTAATATCATATCATATAAACATTTTATGCATTTATTAATTAATATAAAGTCAATATTATTTTAGTTATACTTAGTTAACAAAAATATTTTATATTACTATGATATTTGAATATTTTCTCAAACATTTTTAAAAATTGACAGTCATCTTATGATAATATATTACTATTCAAGTTTATCAATCTATAAATATTATTAACACTAACCTTATTGGTAACGTATTTAAAAAATATAATTTATAACATTATGAATACATAATTTTTATAGTTTTGACTTTAAGTGTTATATTAGACACAAACGGCTGAAGATTTTTATTTTATTTTCTAAGTTTATCATTAAATGAGTTTGAAATGACTATAAATAATCTTTTATTTCACATAAGAAAACAAATTACTGACAAAATTTTGTTATATTTTAAAATTTTCGAGTCATGATTCAGACCTAAAATCAAAAGCAAATAAAAAATCATAAGTGGTTTTATCATTGAAAATATTAAATTTTGTTGTTGTTATCGTTATTATTGTTGTTTTTTTATATTAAAGGTTTTGCTTCTCCCCATAAATAAAAGTCGTTAACAGTTTTATTACTTAATCAAAGAACAACAAAAAAAAACAATTCTCAAAATATATTATTATTATTATTACAGATATATTTTTTATACTATTTATGGGTTCAACAAAATAGAGATTATTTGCGCACATTTAGTGTAAACTTTTAATGAATATTTTTTAGTTTTTAACGCAATTTTTATTTATTATTTTATTACTTCCTTAAAGAGGAATATATAGTAAGATATAACTAATGCAATATTTCGATTATTATATTTTGTATTAAATAAATAATTTTTATACACATATTATTTTATAGTTATAAACGTAGATTTAGTTAATAATATAGACAAAATATATTATTTTTATTATCTTATATACAATAATTTGTAGCATTTTCTCAAATAATTTATCTATAATATTAAATTTAAATTTTATTTAACAAAAATCATTGGCATTATTGTAAAGACTGTACTGTAGATAAACCACTCCCTTAAAAATACAATAAGATTTTTTAAAATATGAATAATTGATTGTAAACACAAAATTGTAAAAATATGTTGAAAAATTAAAAAATTATAATAAATACAGAAATTTCAGATAATTGCTTGAATGAAATCAAACTGATTTTTGACTGATTATAGACAGCACCGGTAGATTCAAAAGTTTTTTGAAAAACCTATTCTGTCTATTTTGATATATATGCGGAAATATTTTAGACTCAAATGAATGAGAGAGAAATGATTGAAAAGTTATAATAAAAGTTGATTTATAAATATAATTGAATTTTATTTTAGTTGAAATATTTATGAATTATACGAACAATTGAAACAATAGATATTCAATACAACAAGTATTTATTGAATATTGGTTTTAATAATTTAATATTTTATGTAATTATATACTTTTGTATAAAACATATTATGTTACAAAATTAAAATATTTTTTAATTTACAATTATTAATAATTTATTATATTATTTGTCTTAATATTTTGACTGATATTTGTTGCAAAATATGAATATATCACAATGCATTAGATTAGCAAATAATCAACTGATTAATTTTAATTGATATATAAACTAATATATTTACAGCAAAATTTATACAATAAAATAATGATAGATTAAATCATTTTTTAATTTAAATTTTAATGATAAATATAAACTAGTGTTTGAAAACATATGAATATTATAATGTTACAAAATATATTAAATTTTCCATTTAATAAAAAATTATTAACTGTCATATTAATATTAAAAAATATTAATGTTTATTAATTAATTAATTAATTATATAGAAATACTGTGGTCAATGCAACACTACTGAGGACTGGCAACCGGTCGGGCAGTGGTAGTGATGAGCTAACGATGAAGCGATCGCCCGATGATTGCGAACAACAAACTAATAAATGCCAAACAAATTGTGATTTAAATACCAATAATAATAATAATAATAATATCACTAATAATGTCAATGATGTGCAGCAAAAAGATTTAGTTTATGTTAATATTTATTTACCAGAATTACAACAGGAGGTACTATTTAAATATACTTTAAATTTTATAATATAATTTTTTCATTTATTATAAATAATTTTAACTTTTATAGCAAACAGTGATAATAAGCAAATATGAGTCAATTTGGACATTAAAGAGAGGTCTCATTGAACGGTGCAATAACCTGAAGAACAATGACCTAAACTATGGTCTCTTCAGCACATCTTTTGGTCATTTCTTGGATGAAGAGCTCAATTTAAACGCATATTTCAGTGAAGCCATACAGAAGTGCTGTAATCGTATTAGACTTGAACTGCTCTACAAACAGAGGATCAAAGTCGGAGAAGTCATGAGTACATTGCCTGCAGGTATGGCCACAAATACAACACATTCCTTGTCTCTACCAATATATAAATTTATTGCCCAAACCCTACCCACTCATAGACCATTCCTTTAATATTGAAATATCTTTAATAATAATAATAATAATATTATTATTATTATAAAGATATAAACTTGGAGATAATTTATATTAAAATTACTGTAAAATCAAAAATATATATATATATAATATAGTATAATTATTTTTGAACACAAAATTGACGGCTTAAATAAATTTATGCATTAATTTGGGCACACAATACATTGTATTATAACAACAACTATGTATAAGACATTAAAAATAAAGATTATGATTAATAAGGGCTCAAACCATAATCTATTGAAATCTAAATTACATGACTATTATAAATTGAATCATCTAAAATAGCTTAACTATTATTATTATTATACCAATCATTATAAAAGTAATACCAGAAGTTTTATATTATTTTACAATATATTGTTTTAGTAATATTTTCTAATATATAAATTATATAACACTCTATAGATATAATTTATGGTCATTTAATGATTTATATACTGTTGTATACTTTATCGTTTATATTAAAGTTGTTATATTAACCTTTTATTCAATAGTACTTTATATAAATAAAAGTGAAAAATAATTTTGTTATGAATATCATTGAAGATATCTTATCGTTGATTATATCATAATATTATTTATTTATATTCCGGCAACACGTGTCTGAAATTTATTAAATAATGTAATTAAACAGTCAATTAAAAATTTTCTAATTATTTTGGTAAAGATTGAGATTAAAGTTAAAATATAATTTCATATTTTCAATGTATTTGGATATAGCTATTAGTTGCAGTTATAGTTTTATATACATTATTTTTAGGTAATATATAGAAATCTAGTTATATAGAAATCAAATTTTCTTAACATTTAATTTATTGCCAATAACTGTCACACATTTTAACATTATAATAGGCGTTATATTAATTGCCATAATTTTAGATAAGGATTACAGTTATACGAAAAGTCCATAAATGGATATTAATTTAAAGCTCTTTCCTCAATACAGTATCCGATTCATGTGTTACCTAAAATTAATGTTTAATTTACAATAAATATTATATAATATTGATTTGCAGATAAATTTATTTGTTAGTTAATGCATAGAGTATCCATATATATAATATAATATAATAATTATTATTTATAATAAATTATATAAATATTCGATCAATCATTAACTTACATTTACACATTTAACTTAAAGTATATTAAAAATATTATCTATTATTAATATAATATAATTATGAAATACTTTATTTCGGATTTTATTCAGAAAAATAGTATTTAAAAGATTTATTTTATATGAAACTGTTTACTGCAGTTTTAATGAATACTAATCATTATAACAACTGATGATTAAACTACTGATTTGATTAGATTTCATTAGTAGATATAAATTATCTGTAAATTCGTGACCAATATATCAATTGAATTTTTGGAAATTATATTTTCAACAAAATTTCTCTCTTATATATTTTTCAATTAATAAAATTACAATTAATTAGAGATTATTATATACGAGTAATTTTTTATTTATAAATGACTGTCAATTAGTAGCTCTACCGGTAACCGGTGGTGGGTCTCAATAGATGCAAACATTAATTATTATTACGGAACCGCATTAATGACTACATTTGATGTTTGCATTTAAAGTATTTAGTTTTTAGATTAAGTTTTTTTTTTGAAAAAAATCATTAGTAATCAAGTGTAACATTTTTATTTCTATACCTTATTTGTAATTTTCCAGTTTAAACTAAAAAAATATGATCAGTATTTATAGTTTAATGACTATAATTTTGTTTTGTTTTCACAATTTTTTGCCACCAAAGCAAACACAACCCGACGACGCCGTAAGCGGTCGCGTCTGATTCAGGCCGTGACCAACGGTAACATTGAAAAAGTGGCCAAAATTCTTATCAATTGTGATCCTAATTTTGTGGACGAAACCTCCGGTGACACTCCATTGAGTATAGCGGCGTCCAGTCAGTCAGCGTCTACCAGTGCCACACAACGTATTGTCGTAGCGCTGGTCAATGGGGGCTCACTCCTAGACTTCAGGACTAAGGATGGCCGGACAGCACTGCACTGTGCCGTTCAAAAGTCCAATTATGTAGCACTCAAAACATTGCTAGACTTAGGTATGTTATTTTCTAATGAGTTTTAAATATTTTAATAATTACTACTCTACTTATCTTATAAGTATAAATTTGTTTGCTTAATATATGCAAATATTTTTGTTTAATTATATGTTTGAAAAATACTAATTATATAATGAAAATTGATTGATAGGCGCGTCGCCCAACTATAAGGACGCTGCAGGTCTGACCCCATTGTGTTATACTATATTGAATGAGTCTAACCCTAAGCTGACCCAACTGTTACTTCATGAACACTCAATGATCGGAGTGGTTGACCACCACGGATGGCAAGAAGTACATCACGTAATGACATATTATTATTACTTAACATTTATATACTTTAAAAGTAATCATACAATCATACCGTAACATAACGTTTATATACAATTGCATACTATTTACTAATTATTGATTATAAATGCCAATCATTTTTCCACAACAATAACTACTATATAAATGGATTACATGTTATGCCTTTATTTTTTACAATTTATACATTATTGTGATATTACATGTATTTACTAATAGAAATAAAAAAAAAATTTCTTGGAATGTAATTATTATAAACACTTTTCCTACTATTATATTATACAGTATTATTACTTATCATAATTTAATTCACTTAAATTGTGTCTATTATTTATTTATCAAAATTGCAAAATTTTAATAGATTAATACAAATTTTAAATGCTTACTTTCTTAGCTCATTTAATTCATTAAATAAAATATTTTAAAAAATACTTTTTTAAATGAAAAAAATATGAGATATTATTACAAACATGAAATTAAATTGGAATATTTTTAATTAAGTTATTATATAATAACAATAAATATAAATCTTATACTCTTTTTATAACCCATTTAAAAAATCTTTTTATAAATTAAATAAAGCCATTAAATGCATTTCATTCATACATTACATGCATAAGTGTAACCCTAATCTGTCACAGAAGTGTTTTATCGTCTAATTTTTTTTAAATCTACGAAATAAGTGAAACTCAAAATTTGTTAATTTATTATATCAAACATTGACCACAGTTTTCCCTAAAAATTGTCATTTTTACTGAACAACATTATTAATTCTATATATTATATTATTTATACTTTAATTAAATAGTAAATAATAAATTACTAAATAGCACATAAGTTTTAGTATAATGAAATAAAACTATTTAATATTTTATTTTTACCAAAAGGCCTGTAAGTTAGGACTTGTGGCTCATTTGGAGCAACTTCTGTACTACGGGTGTGATATGAACTGTCGTATTGTTGGCAGCGGTAATACACCGCTTCACGTGTCGGCCATTAATGACCAAATAGACTGCGCCCGAGTGCTGCTCCTCAGGGGTTGTGATACCAAAATTGTCAATAATTCACATCAAAACGCATACCAGGTATATAACTATTGTTGTTAATCATTATAATTAATTTATTATTAATAGTATACATTATATCATAAAAATATTGTTTCGTAAATTATATCATATTTATATCATTAGATTTTCATTAAAAATAATACATGACTTATAAATAGTAAATCAGATTACTTTAATAAATAGTTGTATAGAGTTTAGAATTTTGTAGTATTTATTTATTTAATATTATTATCATTTAAAAAACTATTTTAATTAAATACAGTAAATATTTAAATTCCTATATTATTACTATATATAAAATCTACTGTTAAAATTAATTAACTTTATCTATTAATTTTAATTTATATTTAATAACTGTGCAACTAATATACATATATACAACTGTATTACTTAATCTATTATATTTAATATAAGTACTAAAGGATTTATAGTAAAATATTTTATTTAAAAATATATTAATTTTTATGAAAATACAATAAAATACAAAGTAATTTTAAATATATATTATTATTCAAGTTCTTTTTTGTTATTTATGTATATATTATATATTATGATTTTCTTATTATAATAGATACAGTAATACCAATACTATCACAAATTTTTAAAACAATGTGACTTTTTATCAAATGAATTAATACTGTATGAAATATTGTGTTAAGCGTTGTCTCAATATTGAGTGTTATTGTGATAAAAATTATCAAAATAATTATAAGAAACTAAAACGAAAAACTATTGACTTTTAATTCATTTGGCATTTAAATCAATAGTTTTTTATCTAAAAAATGTTCATTCTTTGGTTGAAAAGTTATTATTATTAGTTATAATTAACTACTGATTTAATTGTATTTTTCTCATTCTCTTTAAAAATTGTAATGCAATTCACAAAAATCCGTATTTTAAGTACTGTACAAATAAAATACCTACTCATCCATGAAATAAAAATATACAGTAGATATTCATTAGTTGATAAAGATATGAGAGTATATTTATTAATAAATAATGTAATAAACATTATAATAATTTAAAATTTAGTTAAACTACAGTATAGTATAGTGTATGTGTTTAAAAGTAATTTATATACCGGTTGTGTACGTTATGGCAATACTGTATTATTAGTCGTGTTTCTCACATACCATAAATCATTACAGAATTTTATTACCAAAAACTATAAGTGTTTGCATAAGTAAGTCATTTACTGTATTGTTATTCTCAACTCTAAATTTACAATAATATTCTCTATATTATTGTTATGTGTGTGGGATATAGTAGAGTCTAAATGATTAAAAATTAATGACACAAACATACAAATCATATTATATAATACGTTACTGTATATAGAAAATTGCAGTTTTTTGTAAATTGCTTTTTAACATATAATCCAATTCCTTATAGTGTATTCAATATTATATTTAAGAGAGAGAGAGAGAGAGAGAGAGAGAGAGAGTTCACTGAACATTGGCTAAAAAATAAATAAAAAATAATTTGAAAATATAGTTAACTTTTTAAAGTTATTTTTGAGCAAAGTTTTAGTTTTATGACATTAGACATTAGAATTATTTTATACTTACAAATGATTTGTAAATTATAATTTTTTAAAAATGCTTATTAGTTTAAAATATAATGTAATAAAATTTTAATATTCAATATAATAAAGATTTTTAAAATTGCTAAATATGTTATACTATTTAATGTAAATTAACGAATAGGTGGCTGTAATTGCTAACAACATGAGTTTGGCCGAACTCATAGCTAACCATAAGCCGGAAATGGTAGTTCCTTATCGGGATAAACCTAAATACAATCCGGCACGTCGTCCACCTCATAGTCAGGAACATACAGTCGGATCACAACACGTAAGCATTTATTTGGAAATACTTAAAAATTTTAGTATAAAATTATACTAATTATTAAAATATTGCTAAAATTATTGTATATTTATTTGTATTGATAGTCTCAACAAAGTGATCCATCAAAATATAAGTCCCAAATCAATGTTCCCAAAAGTGTACTCCAAGTTTCGGCTACATCTGGAGGTCAGTCTTTGTGTCCGTCGTCACCATCTCTGAGTCAGAGATCATACGCCACATCGACAACAACGACCACCACATCGTCGGGTGTGTGTTGTGAGGACGGCTCTCAATCTGATGGCGTCAACGAAGAAGAGATTGAAGTGGCAGAAGACGTGTCGGATAGTGAGTCTGAATCAGACGAGTCGAGTGTACGACCCGTACAGCTATTGCCCGGCATGACTGTAGTGGCCGTCATTGACTACAACTCCGGTGATCCAACACACCTACAGTTGCGGCGAAATGATATGATATTACTGTTGCCAAATTCATCGTCACCGCCAACAATAGCCAATCAGAAATTACTTTTGGGGCGCCGTTGTGTCGATGGGAAAGAAGGACTTTTTCCGGTCTGTTGTGTCGAGAAATTTAAGAGTAGAGTAGAGGGAAGACGTGACCAGAAATACTCGTCCACAACACTTCCCGCTCGCGGACGTAGCAGTCATAAGAACTATCTAAAAGACGGCAATACTGGTACTACCAGTTCAAGTCTAGGATTGTTTCACGAGCGCACTGTTACTCTACAGAAAGGCTCAAAAGGTTTTGGATTTGTATTAAGAGGAGCGAAGGCGACCTCACCTTTGCTTTTGGAACAAAACCAGTCATTAATTGGTTTGCAATACTTGGATGAGATAGAGACCGGAGCTGTAGCTGAAGCGGCCGGTCTTAAGAGAGGAGACTTCTTATTGGCTGTTAATGGCAATGATGTCCGCCATATGTCTCATGAAATGGTCGTTCAATTGATCCGTCAATGTGGAGATAGAGTGACAATGACTGTGGCAACACCTATACCTCAGCAAAAGACCAAACAATTTAAATCGATACTCAAGAAAGACACCGACAAAGCAGCAAAAAAACAAATACATAATCAAGTCATTGATGACCAACCCATGAGTGTCAGTATGACTGAAGACCAAAATGTCGACCCAAATCTGTTGTCCACATCATTGCCTCCATCTGAAGGTCGGTCGTTATACGCCAAGTCTATGACAATGCAAAAGTTCTCGACATTACCGCGCAATGTGGGAAACAATTGCAGCTCATCTACATCTAGCAGATCAACATCAAGAGGCAGAGCTCCACCCGCACCTCCAAAACGTGATCCCACCACTACTTTATCAATTGGTAGGGCTAGAGCTCGATCTCTATTAATACCAAATACTTCAGGTATTTTCTTATATTAAAAGATAGTATTTTTTTGTTTCATCTTATAATTTATATTTATCTTTAATTGTAGGACCAGGAGCTCAAAACAGAGGCGATACCACTGGAACTGGCAATGATTATGATTCGGAGGGCAGATCTACAAAAAGTTCATCGCCCACCACATCGATTGAGTCGATGATTGTTAACCAAAAAGCCGGGGCCACGAATGGCAACGCAAATGTGGCCAATAAAGTGGCATCAATTCGGGCGAGTCGTCAAACAAGAAGAATATCCAGTTATGAGTTGGAAGAGTTCTTCTCGCGTCAGACGGACGACAATGACGGACATATGAAGACATTTGAGTCAATGACAGCTTTGAAAAAGAAGAAGAATAAGACACAAAGTTTGCATAAAAATTTTAATTCAACGCCAGATATTCAAAAACAATTGGCGGAACAGTTAGCTCGCAATCAAATCATACAAATGAGTAATAGTGAAGAAGAACTCTTTAACAACACAGGTGTTTACGCACAGACAGTAGCGCTAAAGGGCGGCAAAATAATACCAGTTTCAGAAATTAGCACCAATTTTGATGACGATTCTGGCGCTCAGTCAAGGGCTCCACCGCCCACATACCCACCTCCACCGCCACCTCCACCACCAAATGGTCAAATGCAGACATCAGTTGTATGTATTCATAATTATTATATCAGTAGTTGTATAATAGTTTTTAGTAAAGTAAAAATTTGGCAGTATTTCAATAATATAAATAATTAGTTAATATTATGATATCTAAAAAATTATAAAATTAACTTAAGTTTTAGTTATATTATTAGTTTGACTTATTAAAAATGAATGATTTAAATGTTATATATTATAATTATTATAACATTGTTTTTTTTTGTTAAAAGATTAAACTAACTCTGGCTAAACACAGTCAAAGTGATTACGCAAACTATGAGACAGTCTCTCAAAACCAACAAATGTTGTCCAGCTTTAGGCCGGTTGTCAAACAAGATGATATCAAACCAAGTAATGATGATACTGTACAGCCTAAACCTCCAACCAAACCACTGAAAAATAAAGCACCTGCACCTCCACCAGGTGCTCAACCTATTGGCCCAATGAAATCCGTAAAACAACCAAATACTAGTTCGACCACAACATCAGTCTACACTAGACAAGACACGATTGAACAATTGGATGAAAAGCTATCACAACCACAAATACCTGATCCCGACTACTCAACAGATGAGGAACATGAAGTCAAACAAAATCGAGATATGAGTACCTTTAGAGCAAACAATCTAAAGGTTAGAACTAATGATAAAGTGGACAACCAATCAATAGCTACATCAGCCGGACAACGGGCGACACAAAGTTTTGCTGAAAAACTGCCAAAAAGTGCCATAAATTCGACGACAACGACAAATAAACCACAACTGGCTTTTGGCGATGAGTTGAAAGCTAAGACTGAAAAGATTATGTCAAAGTCAATGGCCGTTCAGTCAGTGAAAGAAGAGACAACACTTACAAAGTCATACACTTTGGACAGGAAAGGGTCCGAACCTAAGGAAAGTGATAACTCTAACAGTGATTCCAATAATATAAGTAAAGTTCGTAAAAATATTCGAGAATTTGAACGTCGGTCCAGTATTTGTGGCGAAACTGTTATACCATCGATGCAATCATCAATGACTACATCGATGACTACAACGATGACTACGACAATGACTACGGCTTCTCATCACAAAAGAGATATTGTCGACAACAGTAATGTTAATAATAATAATAATAACAATAATACTGTTAGTGACAACTCTGCAAATAATTCAATCCGTATGAGTAAATCATGTTTTGAAGTGGACTGTTGTGATAATAGCTCTTCCGGTAAGAAAATAAAGTCATTAAATGTCATATTTATGTTGTTTTTCATTACAGGTGTTTCATCGGACGTCGACGGAGAATATGGTGCTAAGCACGAGATAAAACTACAACAAATGGCCACAAATCAGCAGCAAATGAATAGACGAAACTCGCAAAACGTGTCCGAAAAGATAGCCGTACTGATGGCGGCCACAGCACAGGTTAGCCAAGTGGCGGCCGCTGCAGCCGCACAATCATCTATTGGTAGTAACGCCACATCAAGCACTTCCCATACAGCAACTCCACCGCCAGTCCCCAAATTAAGTCAAACGTTGAACAGCACCGGTACAACTGTTTCATCTGCTAGTGCTCATACTCGTCGTGCAACCAGCTGTAGTGATGACAGCCATAAAACAAAATCTAAAGTTTGGCCAAACACGGGTAGTCAGTCAGTGATGGGAACACTGCCAGCAACTACAAGCGCCGCAACTAATATTGTGCCAAATTTACAACAAAAAGCGGTTAAGTTTACCACAAATTATTCATCAAATTCTGAACCAAAATCTAATACCACAAGTGATAACTATTCATCAAATGTTGGACAACAACAACAGCTCACTACTAGATATGTAACCTCTCAGGCAAAGGGTGGACAACCTATTAGACTACAAATTGACTCTTTAGGTATTACTAATTAGTAATTAACTATAATAGCATACATTATAAGTTATAACTACTGTATACACAAAATATACAAACAAATTTGTGAGTTTATATTATATTTTACAAACCCTTAATTTGATTTAGGTTTGGCAGCGGTTAATGAAGTGGACGTATTGGCAGAATTAGTTCCGCCGCCACCGGAATTTGCAGCCCCACCTCCCGGCCATTCGTCCGCTAATAAGACTACAGCCGTTGGCGACCAAATACGACAACCAATAAGCAATCAACAAGTGTTAACTCGACAGCAACAACAACAACTGCAACAATTAAGACAACAACAGTTACTTCAACAACAACGTCGAGTCCAACAGCCGCCACCCATACCAGCACATCCACCACCCGCTACGTTACCACATCAACAACATATACATCAGCAACACTTGATGACTACAAATAAGGAACAAATTAGAATTATATCGCCGACACCGCACCAAATGATTACCAGCACCGGTACACTTCATCACTCGCACCCCTCACAGCCACCAACTGCTGCCCAACACTATCAGCGTTTCCATCAACAGGTAATCCCTGAATTTCTTGAATTGGAGGACAACATTGCAATTGATTATCCGGATTATGATTATAGTTAATGCAATAATGTTGAAAAATAATATTTATTTTATTAATCATCATTTTTAAATATTTTTCATGCATTTTGAAAACATTATATTTGTTTTGAAAAAATTATTTATTATCGAAATATTAATATAGATTAGCAATATATAAATAATGATGCTTAGTATTGATCAAATTTTAAATTTTTAGGTGTCTATTAGTTTAATCTATTAACTAATTTAATTCATTATCTGTATTTTATTGTTTGTTTTATTATTTTTTGTTTAAAATATTATTTCATTGTTTTCATATCATTTATATATACAATTATTGTATTCACCAATTAAATTTGCATGATTTGTATATAATTATTTAATTTTATTTTGCATTACATTATATTTAAATAAAATGACTAATTTTGTTTGATTTTTTGTTGCTTTTAATTTGATTATTGATATTTGTTATTTATTTTATTATTTGAATATTACTGTATTTGTGTAAATTAATATTTGTTATGATAATCCATATCTATAATTATATACATAATTAATAATTAATTCTAAATGTTTAACTAAAATAAGAGTAAGTGTTATATTAATTTAATTTAAAACAAACAATTTAGGCACTGGAAGGAAGATCAGCCAATGCTAGCACATCCAGTTCAGCCCCGACATCACATTCAGAGTTTACCGATTTATTGGCGCGTCAGAGAGCAGCCCACATGAGGTCACACCAACAGCACATCGATCAACAAATATCAGCCTCCATGCGGTTGGGGGTTAATCCCAATGCAAGTCATGGACTGGCCTCTCACCAACAGTTTTCAACACTTCAAAGACATTCCAGTGGTTCACATACCTGTCCTCAAGGACTTACAAGTGCACAGGTATCTCAAGCTCAACAATTTGCTACACTTACGCGGCACCAGTCATCCACACAACAGCAACAACAGCGTCATAACTATTGCGATTACACTCGTCTAACTGTCCAAAATCGACTAATGCGACACATGAATACTAGTCCACAAACCGTTATGAGCGGTAACGGACTGACACAGGCGCCGGCATATGTAGTCCTACCAGTGGTCGACTGGAGCTGCGATGATGTGCACGAATGGCTAAAAGCAATTGGTATGAGTGAACACATACCTAAATTACAGCACTTTAATGGACCCAAATTGATGAGACTCGACAACAATGGTCTTCTCGGACAAGGCATACGACAACAACAACACCGCATCTATTTGTTAGAGAAACTCAAACAACAAATACTCAAAAATCATCACTAATTCTCACTAATCATTATTACAAATAATTTCTTATTTCTTAATATAAATGTTTTTACATTTTTTAATTCATTAGTAATCATCAAGTTTTTTAATAAAATTTTTATCACTAATTTATATTATAAAGTAAACTAATTAAAGTGGACAAATATTTAATTTAATTTTGCATAATTGTTTAATTTGTTACATTAAAATGTTTTGTTAATATAGAGCACAATTTTTGCATAGTTGTAATTTGTTTTGACCTTGATTATTTATTTTTTTTGAAAATATCACAATATTTATGAATATTTAACAATTGGTGACAAATGACAATTTGCTCATTATTTTTAATTTATTTTATAATTAAAATAACATGAGATATGCAATAAAATTTATAAAGTAATTTATACAAAAATAAGTAAATAAACAAAATTTTGTAATTTTTTAATTCATTAATTTAAAATATTTTTATCAAATAATGTATTAAAATTGAAGCATGTCTCATGTTTATTACTTTTTTAGTATTTTTTGTTCAATTTGTGTTTACATATTTTATATTAATATACAGTACATTATAGTTTTTTTTAAGTATTAATCAATAATTGTTAAAATAATTTATCCCTGATAATTGAAAAAAATTCCACATTAATGTGTTCATTAATAATTTATCAAGTTTTAGTAATTTGTTTTTAATAATTTAATACAATTTTATATTTATTTGTAGAATCATATTTTAAGGATATAATTGTTTGTAATTTCCATAATATTCATATATTTAATTGATAATATCTAAGATATAAAGATCAATTTGTAAACCGAGTGTGTAATAACAGTGTAAATGCTTTAAATTATTGGATTGACCCATATATTGAAATGTTGTAAATTGTTTTAGTTATTTACATTAATTAATATTTAAAATAAAAATATGAAACAAAACATATATTATATGATATCATTTTATTTATAATTACTTTTCAAAAAAATTACAGTCAAATCTAATGAAAAATATAATTTAAATTAAAAAATATGTTTAAGATTTTAACTAATTTTAAGATAAATTTATATTTCATTTATAGCCATTCATTAATAAAATTAGAGTCCATATTATATCTGAGTCCGCCATCAACTATCAGATTATGTCCAGTAATATATTGGGCATCAGTTGATGACAGGAATACAACTGCTTTTGCTATATCTATAGATTCTCCGACTCTACCGAGTGGTGCATATTTGGCTGTCTTGTTGACGATGGCCTCGATTTTGTGCGGTTCGTAAGCCTCGGGACGGGAGTTGATTATACCGGGACTATAATTATCACATGTTTAATAATAATTAGTATAATAGAGTTATATTTATTATATTAAATTTTTAAATACCTAATTGAATTAACACGAATACCATGAGGTGCTAACTCCAGTGCCAAAACCTGTGTCATTACACTTAGCGATGCTTTAGATATTTGATAACCCAATTGTAAAATTTGCTGAAATAAAACAAAATCAAATTAGATATTTAAACTATAAATATATTTAAAATATTATTAATTACAGGTCTATCCATTTGGACTGTTGTTATTTGAACAATATTGCCTTTAGTTTTAATCAAATGTGGTGCCGATAGTCGAGCCAATTGTATGTTACCATTGATGTCTAATTTTTCATAAAGATTAAGTGAATCCATAAACTTTGGTTGCAATACACTCATAATATCGTAATGTCCGGCATCGTTAACTAACACATCTAATCCACCAAATTGTTTGATTGTCTGGTTTACCAAATTTTCCAATTCTTCCGGTTTGGTTAGATCTGCCACCACTTCCAATGGCTATATATATATAATGATTGGTAATAAGTATTAATAACATATTGTAATAATTAAATAATTTCTAATTCATTATTTACAATACCTTAATCTTTTTGGGTGACAGTGCCTGTACTTGTTGAGCAGTTTTGTGAATTTCAGCAACTTTTCTACCGGTAATCACTACATTGGCTCCCAGAGCTGAGTATAATTTGACAATTTGAGCACCGATACCATTTGATGAACCGGTTACCAAAACTGTCTTTCCATCAAAATTACGGGATTCACGAACTTCTTGATAAATATCATTATCTTCGAAGTCTTCAAATGTCTGAGTCTTTGTCAACACTATTAATGATATTAAAATTACTGACAGTTTAACTAAAATTGTCATTTTTATAATTTTGTTATTTTATAAATAAATTATAATAATTTTTTATTGATTTTACTAATAAAAATCTTTCTTTAAATACTTTTTTAAAGAGATCTTTTTATGTATTGTTTAAACTTTAAACTGTTTACTGATTAGATTAATGCTATTAAATAATGTGCTAACAAATAGATTTTGTATTATTTATTTAATAGATGAACAATTGGATGATATTGTGTAATAACTGTTATGTACTGTTAAATAGCTTTTATTGATTAGCGCACTAATTATGGCAAAATATTGTTATACACTTTTATCAACTATAATCTATAAATAATATTGTGTCAAGATCGTTTAGAATAATTCATAATTTTATTCAATATATCGTTAACGGTATTATGTATTGTAATGTTATTTTTTCAATTTGTATTAAATTTTAATATTTTATAATATTTTGACAAAAGTTAATGTGATTATTAAATCAATAGTAATTATGTGTTATGAAAATTATTTTACATAAAACTACACATATTTTTCTTATGGCATTTATCATACTTAATAGGAATACATAAATTAAAGTTATTCAGAAATTACTTTAATATATTTTTAGATTTTGAAGTATTTAATTTTTTAAACTTGCTTTATATAAGTTTATGCTTTATTTTTGTAGCGATTTTCAATGATCAAAATTACCGAAAATAGTTTGATAAAACAATTACTGTAGTTATTGTAATTTGAAATTAATAATATAAAATAATTTAATAATTTTGAAAACAAAAACAAATAATTGATTAGAATTTTAGAAAGTTTATTGTCAAAAATTTTTATTGGTAATATTGTATTTTTATTAATAATAATTATTAAAAATAATGTTACAAAAATATTAAACTGTTTTATTTAGAACTTTATTTATTTATATTTATGTTGATATAATCATTGGGACAAAAAGACTATATATTATATAATATATAATCTATTAAATTAACATATATTTTAGTAAATAATATATAAATAAACTTCACAACCCTTAACACTGTTGACAATATATCATATTTATATAATTAACCCCATATTGAGACAACACTTAAGACATTGTCTTACTGTAGATATTTACATTTATAGTGTACATATTATATGTAAATATAAATAAATTAACCTGTTTGATTTATTTATGTTTTTGAGTATTAAAAATTTATTATTTTATGCATTATTATAATTTCAGTTAACTTTAATGGTGTAAATTGTAGATATAATTAATAAAATAAATATCACCAGATTTATTATAGTTAGATAATATAAGAAATTTCTAGAATATAATATAATAATAGTATTGAATTGCATTTCTAATATTCAATAAAAAATAATTTGTGAATTATTTGTACAGTAATTTAAGTTAATATATCTGATTAATTTATATACTGTATAATATTTTATTCTTAGGTAACAATTGACAAAAAAATATTTAAAAATTGATTAAAAATAACTTTTAATATTAAAAATGTATTTTAAAATTGTTAAAATATAAATAAATTATAAAATTAGTAATGATTACAATTTCCTTTATTTGTTTGTTCCTAACCGACAATCATTTACGACAGTTGGCCATAAACTGGGCCACAATTTATACCTTTATAGAGCTATTTCATTGTCTATTGTCGCGGGAGAAATCATCAGAAAGTACAGGGATATAGGGATAATATAAGAGATAAACTTACCGATAACTGCCTAATGTCGGGATTATCAGTCGCTTATGTATCTCAATACAAAATAACTAGTTTTTAGAGAGAGAGAGAGAGAGAGAGAGAGAGAGAGAGAGAGAGAGAGTTTGGGACAGAGCATTGATTCATGTTTTAAATTTTTGAAGTTAAATATCTAATTACTAAAATAAGTAAATATCATATTCAATATTTCCATAGATTTCTATCTTTCTATTCATTTTGTATTGAGATATATAAGCGACTGATAATCCCGACATTTGGCAGTTATCGATAATTTTGTCTCTTTTTTATTATCCATATTTCGCTGTACCTTATGATGACAATACAATACTTCCGCGACAATAGAGAACAATAACGAAATAACGCTATAAAACTATAAATTGTGGCCCAGTTTGTGGACAACTGTCGTAAATGATTGCCGGTTAGACAATAAACAAATAGAGGAAATTGTAATCATTACTAATATTTTTTAATTTATTTTGATTCCTGTAACTAAACCGTTATAAATAAATAAATTATATTTTTTATATAAAACAATAATAGGACGACTTTGTGGTCACTTTACAATTATCACTATTTTTATGTTTACCGATGGGTCGGAAATAATAATATAAAGAACATAAGTATTTAGAGCACGTGATGAACGATATACCGAACCATAGGTTGAAAAGGCTGGCCACGTAACACACGTACTCAATAAACTGTAGGCGCGGACAGTGAGTATAGTGCACATTCATACCGGTCGGTAACAGTAATGATAGTTCAAAAAATTGGTTATTTTTGGCACCTTTTTTGTCACCAAAATTTAACCATTTTTCCACTATTTTGATGTCAAAGTACTCCATATAACAGTTGGGACGTCGACTGCAATTTGCCGCACAATAGTCTGACATCTGTTTGTCTAAAGTTTTTTGTTTCAGACTTTGTGTATAATCAGCCGTAAAATATATATCTTCGTCGACCTCTTCGGGCACCGGAAGGTATGGATGCCAGCCTGAGAAGTGTCGCTTAAAGTAATGAGTTTTACATTTAATAATACAATCGGTGTGAGACTTATGTCCCATTTTAGTGTAATTCAAACAATTTGTTTCATAGGGCGCCGGTAGCAGTTGGGTACTGGTCTTAGTATATGTTAATGAATACCCTGTCGTTAATTAATTTATTGTTAATTACTTAATTAGTTAGTATTTTCAATCATAAAATAATTACATGACTAATATTTATGAATTATTACCAGAATATCTACGATTATAGATCTGAAGATCATTGATCTGTCCGCCAAAGTATCCGGAATAAGGTGTGCGACGAGAGTGAAGAAACACATAAAGAGATTTCATGTATCGGTTGTTTAAAAACAATCGCAATAATGTAAACCCATTATCACTGACTGTTATGTCGTGATCAATGCGATAGTTGTCATCACTTTGACCGTCCAATTGAGACATTATTGTAAAACATTTGTAATCAATATTAATGTATTGTTTTACATGCGATACATTCCAACAGTTTATATATTCATTATTATAGTCATCATTTAGTCCTGAAATTCAATAATAAAAAAATTAGTCAATTGATATCATTTAAATATTTATTACCTATTGGTTTCATAACAAGACATGAGCTAATCAACTGTTCCGTATTAACGGTGGCATTCAATATCTGCTCCTTTAAAGGCAAACTATGCAAAAGTTTGGTTAGTGTCCAGTCGTCTCTTAACGAAACCGACAAATTGGAGAATCTCTTAATCAGGTATTCATTATCAATAGTTTGCGATACATTTGTACAGATAGTAAGCGCTGGTATATCAATAACTTGTTGTCTTCCCAAATGTACGTTAATATTAGTACGGTATTGAAAATATAAATAACTTATGTCTAGCACTTGATATACGCAACCAATTAATAAAATAATTAAAAATATTAATTTTAATAATGATAATTTAAAATAAGTTTCTTTCATATTGTTTATTAACATCAAAAACAATTCATTACAGTATTTATAAATAAATAATAACAACAAAAAAATATAATTAAAAAATAAGACAATTTTCAAAATATATTATATGTTCTCTAGAGTGCATACATATATGTAATGCAATCCAACTATTCTAGTATTAAATAAATAAAAACAATTTTTACAAATATTTATTTTATAAATAACAAAACTTTATGCAATAAGTGTGATCAGCACTTATTTCACACTAATTAAAAGTAAATGTGACTAATATTCTGTTAAATTATTTTAAGTAAAACTGTATTTAAGTTATAGGTTATAAAACAGAATATTCTGTAGAAATATTGCTAATGATTAAACTATTTTAGTTGTACATAATTTCTGTTTATTTTATATATATATAAAAGTAATTATATGATAATAAATCTTTTTAAAAAATCAACTTAACTTCTGTTTTAATAAATGTTGCGTTTCGTAAAAACTGTGAAAATAATTTTAGTTACTTTAAAACATTACAACTTTAATCACATTTGGCTGAAACTCAAGATAAATATTTTTTGTTTTTCTATATCACTAATACAAATCATATTATTTATATATAAACTTTCTTTTGTATTTTTCTCTTTGTAAAATGATACATATTTTAAGTTAGAAAATCTTAATTTAAAAATAGTTAAAAACATATATTTCAAATTTATTAAAAATATTTATATTTTAAAGAATATAAATTATGTATATTTAAAAATATAATTAACATATATAAATACAGTATTTGATGCATAATATATATTAATATAAAAATAATTTAATTTTTGATAAATTAGACTATTTATTCCTAACAAAAAATCATATACTTCACAACCTTTTTTTAGTTTTTATTATTTTACAATATATTAATTTAAAGTCTATAAAAAGATTATTTCTTACTTAAAATAAATAATTAAAATAGTTATGCTATATATAATTCATTATAATTAAAGCTATAAAGGTATATCAGGTATATCAATATTTTAGTAGTAAACAACTGATTAATATATACTTTACAATAACATCTAATAGCAATTAATATTAATATATTGTATGATATATTTTGTATTTATATAAAAATCAAAGTTCATAATGCATTTAGTGGATATAATTTATAATCCAGGTGTTAACTAAATGGGAAAGTCTAATAAAATACTATTATTAGATAACTTATCTTATATTACTTATGTGTATATATTAAACAAAAGTTTATACAGTATTTGAAAATACATAAAAATATTTTTTAATGTATTATAAAATATTATTATTTAAATTTTATTGCAACATAAATTAATTTATAAAATGAAATTAAAAATATTTCTATTTATTTTAGTAATCGTTTATACGGTTCACTCTCGTAATGATGGACTGGCCTTAACTCCTCCAATGGGTTGGTTATCATGGGTTCGGTTTGCCTGTGAGACTGACTGCAAAAAATATCCCAACTCTTGCATTAACGAAGAACTATATAAAGAACAGGCGGACAGACTGGTTAAGGATGGCTTCAAAGAGTTGGGATATGTTTACGTTAATATAGATGATTGTTGGAGTGAAAAGGAAAGGGATGTTCACCAGCGTCTGGTTCCCGATAAACACCGATTTCCAAGTGGTATGAAAGCACTGGCAGATTATATGCATTCGCAAGGATTAAAACTCGGCATCTATGGTGATGTTGGTCCTCAAACTTGCGCACAGTTTGTTAATTCATTTAATTTTTTAATAATTATTTTAACACATAAACTGATTTATTAAAATTATAAAAGTTATCCAGGACAAAACGATAAAAATGGTTCCAATTATTTCTCAATTGATGCCAAAACATTTGCTGAATGGGGTATCGATTCATTTAAGTTTGACGGTTGTAATGAAGATCCCAAACATTTTGATGATTTATATCCCAAAATGGGTAAAGCACTCAATGAATCGGGTTTGTCGTCAAACAATTTTGCTTATTATTTATTTTAATTTACATAAAAATTAAAATAACATTATAATGTAAATCTTATTAAATTATTTAATATTTAATAAAAAGGTCAGCCAATGGTATTTATATGCGAGTGGCCATTGTATCAATTGCACCACAAAATCACTCCTAATTATTCAGCCATTGAAAACACGTGTCATGTTTACCGAAATCACGGCGACGTTTCCGACGGTTGGAACAGTATTATCTCAATTATCAACTTTTATGGCGATAACAACGATCTCTTTATTAAATATAACGGTATTATAAATTTAAAATATTTTTAAAAATTACAATAAAAAATATTTTTAATTAACAAATTAGGTCCAGGACACTTTAATGATCCAGGTATGTATTTTATATGTTATTTTACATATATTGATACTTAAAGATTATTACTTAATATCTTAATTTATTTTTAAAATCATTTGTAATTAAAATCAAATTCAAATTATAAATTAATAGATATGTTAATCATCGGTGGTTTCGGACTGTCCTATGAACAGAGTCGGACTCAAATGGCAATGTGGGCCATGTTTTCGGCCCCTCTTTACATGTCTAATGATTTAAGAGCTCTAAAGCCTGAATTGCGACAAATTTTGCAAAACAAGGCCTTAATAGCTTTAAATCAGGACAAACACGCAATTATGGCTAAACGTGTATATACTGTATGTAATATTTTAACACATTTTAAACATATAACTTTGTTGTTTAATAATTGCAGTACCATATTATACAAATTAAATAATTTATTGTTTTAGGATAAAAATACTCAGATATGGGTGAAACAGGTTGAACCAAAAGTCAACAATCAGTGGTCATATGCTATTGTCTATCTAAGTACTAAAAGTATTGGTGACAGATATTATGTATGTATTTGTGATTTTTAACTAAGTTTAATAAATTATAAAATATATATTTTTCCTTTTTTCACAAACATATACTTTTTTAATATACAAATATTTATTTATATTTAATAGATATCACATAAAGTATCACAATTAATAACTGACACAAAAAACACAACTGAATATGTAGTCCACGATCTGTTTCTGGACGAAGGAAAGGAGATTTTAGGTACTCTTAGAGTAAGTGATAATCTGGAGCTCAAAGTGGCCATTGCTGGCGCCTGTCGTTTGGTTAAATTAGTGCCCAAATATTAATAAATTTTTTAATTAAATTACCTTTATATTATATACTGTCTATATTTTATTAATTTTAACAATAAAAATTAATATTAAATAATACTTTATATTTATAAAATTTTATTTAAGTTATAATTCTTAGAAAATTACAAGGTTTCAATTTAGATCCAGTATAGTTTATTATTATAATTGTATATTTAGATAATATAAATACTTAAAAATGTAAAATTTCAAGTATTTGTACATCTTATCATAATAAGATATCACTATAATTTGTTTTTTAATGTTTATAACTATTGTACTGTATTTGTAATATTTAATATTCTTATTTATTTTCTAATTATTATTTATTTTCTAATTATTATTTATTTTCTAATTATTATTTATTTTCTAATTATTATTTATTTTCTAATTATTATTTATTTTCTAATTATTATTTATTTTCTAATTATAATTTATTTTCTATAAAAAATATCAATTAAATCATTTGTCAGTCTTAATAGAATTATTAATTTGTCAAAATTATGAATAATTAAATAATATAAGATATACTGTATTAAACTTTTATTATTAAAAATTTCCGAAATATAATGTAGTCTTTAATATTAGTTTTATAAAATAGTTGATTAATAAATCCCTAAACACTTGATTTTAACTCAACAGCCGTAATATATTTTATTAAAAACTGATAATTACAATCAAATCAATTCAATTAGTGTATTAGTATTGTTGTTATCACATAAAAACAATTTATAGTGCATTCCTATGTTTCAAAATATTTTTCACACAAACACTATATAAGGCTTAGAGAGTTGTATTTTTATCACTAAATTTTGTAATGGTTAACAAATAGTTAACTAAAAATATTTTTACAGCATTTAATTCAACAAATAATAGAAAAAATGAAAATCTATTTTATAGTTTGCTTAGCTATCACTTCGGTGTTGGCCAGAGATGATGGACTGGTGCTCACACCACCCATGGGATGGCTGTCATGGACTCGCTATGCGTGCGAAATAGATTGTGTTAAATATCCAAAATCATGTATCAATGAGGACCTGTATAAGGAACAGGCAGATAGACTGGCAGCTGACGGATTCAAAGAGTTGGGTTATAATTATGTCAACATAGATGACTGTTGGAGTGAAATGCAAAGAGATGGTAATAAACGACTCGTTGCCGACAAAAAACGTTTCCCAAATGGTATCAAAGCACTGGCAGATTACGTCCACTCCAAAGGTCTAAAACTTGGTATCTATGGTGATGTCGGTCCTAAAACATGCGCCGGGTTTGTAATTATAGAAATAAATGTTTGATAAAATTAGTTAGTTATTTAAAAATGTTATTTAAATATTATGAGACAGATATCCGTCACAAAATGGTGTAAATGGTAGCAACTATTTCACAATCGACGCCAAAACATTTGCCGAGTGGGGCGTCGATTCATTCAAGTTTGACGGTTGTAATGAAGATCCCAAACATTTTGATGATCTGTTCCCCAAAATGGGTAAAGCCCTCAATGAATCGGGTAGGTGTTAGCTTATATCAATTATATGACATTTAATGATAATTTTATTTTTATTATAAATTGATAGGTCGTCAAATGGTTTATATATGTGAATGGCCTCTATATCAACACTTCCATAACCCTCCCATAGCTGTCAATTACGAAGCTGTGGCCAAAACATGTCATGTATTCAGAAATTTTGGAGATATAGCCGACAGTTGGTCCAGCATTGAGTCAACTATTAATTTTTACGGAGATAATTATGACATGTTTTCAAAGTACCAAGGTAATTATAAGTAAATACATTTGATATAATTTATAAATATAATTTTTCTTATATTTAACAGGACCAGGACACTTTTTTGATCCAGGTATAATTAATATTTTATCTAATGTTTATATTCTATAATAATTATGGATAATAATTGTTAAATATATTTTATGAAATAAAGACATGATAGTTGTTGGTGATTATGGTATAGCCTATCATCACGCGCGCACTCAAATGGCTATGTGGTCCATGTTTTCGGCACCACTTTATATGTCCAATGATTTAAGACAACTATCAGCTGAAGACAAGAAAATTTTGCAAAACAAAGCTATTATAGCTATAAATCAGGATAAAAATGCTTTTATGGCTAAAAGGATCTCTAATGTAATAAATATATTTTATTAAATATTTGTATGAAAAATGAAAATTGTATTTACAGTATAAATATATTTTTTATTTTAAAAAATTCTGAATAGTCTGGCGGTCAACAGGTTTGGACAAAACGAGTTGAACCTCAGGTTAACGGTCAGTGGTCTTACGCTGTCGTCTATATTGATACCAATGGTATTGGAGATAAACGATATGTAAGTTTTAAATAATTATAAAATGTTATAATTAATAATTTTGTTTATATAGATATCTAAAAAAGTATCTGAATTAGCGATAGACGCAAAAAATGGCACTCAATATACAGTCTATGATCTATATCTCGATGACGGCAAAGAAGTGTTGGCAACACTTAAGACTACAGATAGTCTTGAATTACTGGTCGCTACAGGAGGTGGTTGTCGTGTGACTAAATTGGTACCTAATAAGTGATTTAATCACATTTAATATACAAGTATACTCTAATTATTATAATAAAAACATGTTTTTAAAGTCAATTAATCACAACATTTTTAATTTATAAATTATTTAAATGTTTTTTAAAAATTTAATTTGTATTGTAATTATAAAAACAATTTAATTGTAATAATTTATCATATTTACTAAATTTATTAAACATTTGCATATACTGTAACATAGTTTCTTAACAGTATATAATTTATTCCTTTATAGGTACTAATTGTCTATTTATTTATTAATTTATAGCAATTTAATAATATAATCATCTAATGTTTAATAAATAAATTATCACTAATATTAAATAAGTTGATAAAATAATCTAATTGACAAAATGCAAATTAAGTTTTATTAAAGCAAAGTCATATATTAATAATATGATATTATACTTTATACAGTACAAATGTATACATGTATATATAATTAATATTTTCGATTTATTATTTGAAATAATAATAATATTTTTTTTTGTAAATTTATTTACAATTTACTTGAATAATAGTCTGCATTCTCTGTATTTCTCTAAACTTAAATAAACAGTATTTCTGTGGATGACGTCCTCATCCGTGAAGTTGTTGTGTTGTCTTTTGTTTTAAATAATTGAAAGCATTGTTTCCTAAAGCTAGAGCTCAACCAGAAAAATATGACTGAATTGAGTGAATTAGTCGTACGAAATGTCACATAAAAGAAGTAATAGCCGGGAGTTAAACCACACGGAGACTGACTTTTAACTGTAAAGTCTATATTATAGCCATTAATTGCCAGATAATATCCGGCGTTTTTAATGATAAACACAAACAATAATGTTATTAAACTTCTAATTATTTTACAGCGATTTACTTTTCGACCGGAGACATGATGTTGGGTAATGTTATCACTAAATACCAATGCATTGATCATTTGAGTGGTAAACCACGTGACAAGTAGTGTCGGTACAATGAAGTTGATGGACATACCGAATATACGAGTGCTTAGTGTGTAGGCTCTGTTTGATAGGATATCATTAAGATATGTATCATTTCTTTTCATACAATAGAGTGTATTATTAGTGAAGTTAAAATAATCGACATCATTGGTCAATGCAAAGGGAACCGATAGTATGATAGCGCACAACCATGTGGTCAATGTTATATGTCGAGTACAATATTTATCCAATGGATTATTAAATACATGAGTTATAGCATAATATCTGTCGCACGCTATCAGTATCATTGAATGTGATGTTGAAAATAGTGTTATGTTATCTAAATAATTGTGAAACGATTGAAGAATATATGCGCCAATCGTAGGGTTATTATTATTATCAATCAAATGCCTCATTAAAACAAATCTCGGTATTAATGTATTGACCGTTAATATAGTGTCCGATAGGGCTATGTTTGCCATTAAAGCTTTTGGCCGACTCTTGTGCTTCATTTGACTTTTCATTGATTTCCAAATTATGAAAATACAGATTAAATTTGATATCACACCCAATATTTGAGTTGTAAATACACCATATATTACATGCATTTGTTGAATATTCAAATGCATTGATGAATTCATTCTATTCAATAAAAATAGCAATTTTATTATTTTAAATAATATTTATTTTTATGTAATATACTATACGTTAATAATATAAAATAACTTTTAATATATATATATTTTGGATTTGGAAAAATAAAATTTAGAAATATTCTTATAGTATTAGTAGAACACTAATAATTCATTGATTTATAGTTTGTAATAATTTTATAATGATATTGAAATAAGTCAAATAGTTATTTACTTAATAATTTACTTATAAACAGTAATATTATACGCAAGTGTTAATTTTATATCTGTATATTATTATATAAAAATAAATATTTTTGTTTTTTTATAGATATAATGAATGTTATTATTTTATTTTGCGCCAATATGTTAATCTTGAAATAACTATTTATTATAGAAATTTATTTAATAATTATATCAATATAACCAAAAAGTTTATTAAATTTGTAACGTACAAAATATCTATAAATGATAATTTTTTTATTAGTAAAATTGGTTTGATTATTGTCGTTTTAATATTTTGAACAGTAGGTATTAATTATCATACTATTAATTAAAATGTAATCAATATTATTAATTCAAATATTAACTATAATTTTTGCAATTAATAACATTTAAATATAATGTACGATTGACTACATAATTGGTAATCAATAGCATGACCACTGTTCAAAACTATATGTATGGTATAAATAATTTACATAAATAATATATAAATAATAAATTAATTATTTGCAAATATTTAACATAAGTGATAATAAAAATTGTGTGTAACTATCAATATATAAGTTATATTTATAGAGAATTTTCAAAAATGAATGTCAATATTTAAAAGAAAAATACGTTATATTAAATTACAGTAAATTGTGATATCATATATTTATACCGATAAACTAATTATCATAATCATACTTTAATAATTCATTTCAACAAATTGTTATATCTATTTATTATAATAAATTTATCAAAAATTGCGATAAAAAAATAGAAAAAATAATTAATTAATTATCATATAACAATTTAGCAATATCACAGATAAATTTATATTACATGAGTAAAAAATAAAAACAAATTGAAAAACGATATTTTAAATTTAAAAATTAACAATTAACAAGGTATATTACATAATTGTTTATAAATTATTATTATTATTATTATTTAGTACAATATCCGAGGTATGAGAGGATCACCTTTTGAGAGGATCAGAGTTTATGATCTGTTAGTGACTGACAAAGAATTTGTTGTTGTTTTGCGCCAATAATCGCACAGTTGTTGTCTGAACTGAGAGCTCAACCAGAAAAAGATGAGTGAATTGAATGAAGTTGTCGTACGAAATGCAATGTAAAAGAAATAATAAGATTGAGTTAAACGACAGGACGAGGGATACCTCTCTCTAAAGTCAAAGTTTAAGCCACTTATTGCCAAATAATACGTTAAGTTTTTCAATATAAATATTATTAATATAACTAACAATCGTTTAGTTATTTCACATCTTTTCAAATCATGGTTTACTTGAATCCCAAGTAATGATTGTCTGTAATCGTCAAACAACTTGTAAATCATTTGAATGGTAAACCACGTGACTAATAGTGTAGGTAACAGAAAGTCAATGAAGATTGTGAAGATACGAGTGCTCAACACAAATGTCTTATCTGAACTCAACTCAGATAAGTAGAGCCCATCATTGAAACAATAGAGAGTCGATGTATTGAAGTCATAAAAGTCTATTTCACTGGTTATGACAAACGGTAGGGACAGTACTAGACTCGAGCACCAGACTATCGCCAATAGTTTTTTAGTAGATATGCCATCAAAAGGATTGTTAAATATTTTAGTGATAGCATAATAGCGGTCACATGCTATCAGCGTAAATGTGAATGACGTTATATAAAGGGTTATGTTATCCAAATAATTGCGAATTGATTGAAATACATGAGCCGATATCGGGTGGTCGGCTATGAGTTTCATTATAGCCAATCGGGGAAATATTGTGTTAAGAGTTAGTATGGTATCCGAAACGGCTATATTTGACATTAAAACTTTAGGTCGACTATTGAATCGCACGTCTTTTATTTGGTATACAATATAAATACATATTATGTTGGATAACATTCCCGTGAACTGAGTGACCAAAATGCCGTAGACGGCCATCATTTGGTACTCATTTAAGTATAGCGAATCGTTTTTCATGATTTTCATATTTATATTATATTTATACTAATTTGACTGATTTTTAAATAGAAATTATTATAATCACATTTTTAATTAATATCATAATCAATTAATAGTTTTGAACTAAATAACTTTAGATATTACAATAGTATTGAGAAATATATGAATATAAATAAATAAATATATCAACAAAATAGATAAATATATTTTGATAACATAGGCATCAAGTTGTAATCTGCAATAATTATGAATTTCACTTAATTAAACTTAATAAAATAACAATTAAAAAATTATAGTAAAAGTAATATTAATAAATTCATTGTAAATTAATATATTTTATGTCTATATATATATATATAGAAAATATTATATATATATATATACAGCAATTCTTAACAGTAAACAAGTGTATAAAAATGGTTTTATTTATATAAAATTTTGATCGTAATGATAATCTAATAATTGTTTACATTATTATGGACTACAGCATAATACTAGCTATAAATAAAATAAATTATTAGACAATAATTTTATTAAGTAATTATCCAATAGTATTTGTATTATCTTTATATTAAGTCATTATTTGTCAAACAAATAAAAAATATTAATAAAAACTGTAAAAACTTAATATTTTTAATAACTATTATAATATTTATATTCTAAGTTACTATATTATTTAATTTAACTGTATCTTTTAATTATTAAATGTACAAAATTTAGAAAAATTATTGTTTGCTATACTATAATAATCAAATAATATGATTTTACTAAAGCGTTCATAAAAGATGATAGAAAATAAATATTTAATATTAAAAAATGTTAAATTTTGTTGATTTTACTGATAGAAATTCAGAATTTAATATATTACTAAAATAAATACAATTATTGTTAGTAATGTTTAAATAATATTTTAAGAAATTATATATTAATAATATTTTGATTCTTTATAAACTAATTAAATCTATATAAATAAAATATGTTTTATTACTAATTACACAAACTTTACAAATTTATGTGTAATTAATATTTAAGTCAATAGAATGAATAGACAGTATTATAGACTCAATATTCTAAAAACTAATTAAATATTGTTTTTTATTATAACATTTGTTTCTATAGTTATTTCAATTGTTTAATGTAATCAACGGGCAAATAGTGGTAGAGTTTATTTTATTTATTTAATTTTATGATATTATTATTTAATATGATTTCAGTGTAGAAACAAAAGATAAAAATAGAGTTAATATAAAACACAGAATTTTATAATTTTGTTATTATATATATATATATATATATATATTGTAAATATTAAATTAAATTTAATTAAATATAATTGTAATTTATAGTCATTTTTATAAATAATATTGTCGACTAAATACATTATAAATTGTTTGAGAGAACATTAAAAGTTTATTAAAGTTTTTTAAATTAGCTAATAGTTAATGAAACTAATGTAATAAATATAAACGTAGATTTATATGCAAATTATTTATTAAAAAATTCATTGACAAATTAAAATATTTTTTAAACAACTATTAATATTTCAAAAATACTATTATTAACAAATTTATATATTAATTGCTTTTACTAATAATATTTTGATACTAAATTTTATGAATAATAATAATGTATTATTTTATTTAAATTAAAGTTTATATTAACAGAATATTCAAATACAAAAAAAATAGTTATAAATAAAATGTATAGACTAATAGGCTGATAGACTCATTTCAATTTTATATTTTTAAAAATATAATGACTTGTTTGCAGATGTCTTAACACAATTAAATTTTAATAATATTATTGTAATTTATTTGAAATGTGATAAACCTTTCATAACCTTTCATAATGTCACTAATGTTGGACAACATAATGTGTTGACTGAATGGGAAGTAATAATTATGTAAACAACGCTTGCAAACAAATTATTATTTAATTTATAACTATTTATATATCAAAGTTCAATTGCACACAATAATATAAAATCTAGATATAATTTACATTGACACTTGTTTTATTTAAACAATTATTATAGTTATATAAATATCAATAAGTTACAAGTTATGTATTTAACACTAAACATTTATCTTTTACAAAACAATATTTGCACAATAAGTACAATGATTTAAAATTTATGTTTATAGTTATATAAGAAAATGATATTAAGATAAAAGATAGAAATGATAGAATAGGATAACACACTTTTATACAATTGTCAATAATTTTGTATGATATATGATAAATAAAAAATATATTATACATTCAAGTGTTGGATGAATTAATAAATAAGATTTAAAAAACTCCGATAGCATAACATAATAAAATCAATTTATATTTTTTATATACTATATAATAACAATTTGTTAATTATTTTTAATTATAATTCACATTTATGTTTATTAATGCATTATTATTACAAATTATTGGTACAGTATTATTACAAACTTAAACTTTTAATGATTTGTCATAAAGTTAACAATTTTAATACAGTTCATTAAATACTGTAAATGATTATAACTTAAAGTTAATTTAAATGACATTTTGATTAAACTCTTGTCCCTCATGTAAACTAAATCTATTTTCTAAATTATGTTTTGATAACGTGTTTGACATTTGTTTGTTATTTCGGTTATAATTATAGAAAAGTATGCAAACCCGAGACAGAGTTGTTATTGATATACCAAACCATAAACTGAAAATACTAGCGATATAACAGATATATTCAATGAGATGAAGTCGTGGTGAATGTACGTAACGTGTGTTGACACCACTCGGCAAATATATGTATATTCCGTGCAAATGGTCATTAACTCCAACCTCTCGTTCCCATTGACCGATTGTATTGATAGAAAAATAGTCGTTAAAACAGTTTTCTTTTTTGCCGCAAACATCTACACAATGACTGGCCATTAATTTATCGACCGTTTTGTTTTTACGCCATTCATCGTTTGAGTACTTGACGTGACCCGACATCTCTCCATTGAAAGGTATGTTTGGATGCCAACCCCCGAAATTTGTGGTAAAGTACTTGGCCTTACAGCTTAGTATACAATGAGATTGACTCCTATATCCAATACTTGTATACTTAAGACAATTGGTTTCATACGGTGGCTCAAGAAGTTGGGTTGTGGTCTTCACATAACTCAATGTAAAACTAATATATCGGGTATTATTTAAATGAATACCATTGGTTTGTCCGCCAATAAAACTGACAAATGGATGTTGTCTTGAGTGCACAAATAAGACCAGATCTTTAAGATATTGATTATTAAGTCTAAACTGATATAATGGGAATCCATTATCCCTAACAATAATGTCGTGATCGACCCGATAGTTGTCGTTATTTGCCAACTGATGAGGTTTTTGCGAGAAAAGTGTAAAACATTTTTTCTGTTTATCGATTGACTCTATTATCTTAGAGACATTTTCACAGCTTATGTAGTCATCATTAGGATATCTGTTTTCAAAACCAATTGATTTCATTACTAGACAACTATTGAAGAACTGGTTTGAAGTTATGGTAGCTCTGAATAGTTGTTCTTCTAGTGATAACTCTTCCAAGTATTGACCAAACAGTCTCTTATCAATATCTTTGACGACAACATCAGTAATGTTTGACAATTGACTTCCATATAATTTCTTCAAATAGTCATAATTAGTGACATAACTAATATTAGTACACAAAGTTATGGCCGGCATTTCAACGACAACTTCTCGTTGAAACTGTACGTTAACTGTAGTCTTATATGAAAAATATATATGACTTATATCTACGACGTGCCAAACACATCCCAAAAGTGATATTATAACAAATAATATGCGAATAAATAAAACTTTCAGATCCAATGTGTCCATCATTTTGTGCTTTTATTAAATAATTATTACTATTTCATTTAAAATATTCAAATAATTATATTATTATTTATAACTTTATTATTTAAGTTATGTTTTGTAGTTTGGTTACCAAATTATATATTTATTTAGGCTAAACATAATATTGATATTCATATAACAAATTTGATGTTATATTTATATCAAAAGTCAACTTATTAACAGAATATTCTGTTTATTCTTTAATAAACTACATATTATATATCATTAGACTCACTATAGTGACAGTCTCTCATTTATCGCCAAAAGAGTCTTTCCCTTTATCTCCCTTTCCTTTCCATAGTTACTTATACTGTACTATAGATACAGAAAGCTATTAACTAATTGAGGTCTAAATAGAGGCTTTCAAAAGTGATAAACTGTTTATTGCATCATTTATTGCTAACTTTCTCTCTTAAAAACTATTTTTTTTGTTTTATTACAAAAATAATTAAAAAATAATGATATGATATTTAATACGTCAACTTTTTTTTGTCAATTATTGTTATTTATTGAATTCATTGTTTGTTTATTTATAAAGTCTATTCATTAAAATATATTAGTGACAAAAGTTAACAAGAATTGTGTCAATTATGTCATGTATTTCACTAAAGTTAATACATATAATGATCTTTTATTACATTTAATTTTTCTAAGTCATAGATATGTTATTAATATTTAAATATTTGCAAAACATTTTAATCGTTGGTATAAACAGTATTTATCTTATATTTGTAAATTATATAATATATTTTATAAATAATGATAGAGTTTTGTATTTTACCAAAATATAATATTTTTTATTATATTATATAAAATATTATACATTATTTATTACAAATATTTTACATTGTATTTTAGAGTATTTATTGTAAAAAAATAGTATATTAAATACTGAATGTATTATATTTTTATAATGTACAAACAGTTTATCATTATCTACTTTTAAAATAAATTAATTCAATAATTTATTAATATTTAAGTTTTCTTTCCAACGATCAAATTAATATATAAATTGCAATAAAACTAAATATATTAATATATATATAACTAGATTTTATCAACAAAAAAAATTCAATCATTATATTACAATGATTATGTTATGTAGCATAATTGTAAATAATGTTGTTTATATTTTTGATATACAAATTATTGATATATATATTAATAAAAACAGCTTTACTTGTATATTGTAAAAATTATCATATATTACTTAAATAGAGCAATAAATTTAATTAAATATAACCAAAATGTTTGGTCGATTGAAAGTATTAAATTAATACATAAAACTATAATTATTTATTAGGTATATAACAGTACAGTATATTACTTTCTAGGAAATATAATTTATTGTAGACTTAAATTATGAAATATGAATCATAAATTATATGTTTAAACTTATAAATAATGATTTATACAAACTCTATCAAAGAGTCAATATATTTGCTATAAATACAATACTTTGATAAAATTAGAAAAGTATATTATTATATAATTTATTATATTATTGTTATAAATCTAATATATAAATATAAAATTAATATTTAATATTTGAATTAATAAATCAACAATAAATTTATAAATAACAAAATTACTAAATTACTAAATGTATGGCAGACTCAAATAAATATGTTTAAAATAATAAACTAAATAATATTTATGTTTATTTTTATTTTTAAAGCTTACAAATTGCATAGTATTTAATAGATTATAACATTTAAAATGATAACAAAATTAACAAAATATTTATTTTTCTAATATCATATATTCCAACAAATAATTACCAATTGATAAACTATAATATAATTTTTTACACTCAAAACCTATTAAAAATAGGTATTGATTGTATAATTACCATAACTCATAGTAATTCATAGCAAAAAATGTCAGAGAATTTGTATTATTTTTTACATTTTTGATACTATTTTAAAATCGATAAATTTTTTGAAACTCAAGTGAAATAAATTACTGAATGTGAATATTTAATTATCACTTACATTAAATTTATTTAATTAATTAATTATACATACAATTATAATAAAGTACAATTACATACAAAAAATTAATAAATAAGCAGAAAATACAATAAAACATAGTGAATATATTTTTTTTAATTAACAAAAAAATGTTCTTAATTTTAATAACAATTTTTTTAATAAAAAGTTCAATAAATATGTTTTGTTGAAAAAGTTTATTTGAATAAAATTTCATTAAATAATAATATGTTGTTAAGCGAGGGGTAATTTTACAGATGTTATTCCGCATTGTTTATCATCGGGACGATTACAATCTTGAGGTTTTAGTGTTAGTCTATTGAGACATATGTAGATATGTTGTAATAAAGGGTATGGTTTTTTGGACAGACACTCCAATTCGACTTTAGCTCCCAAACGGCTTTCCACTGCATTATGAATGTTAATCAATGAGTAGGTCGTGGTATTGGATGCCTTAATATTAGAGCTCTGAAGCCATGACTGAAGTGGAAATGAGTCGTAAAGATGTAAAGTATGATTAAAATAGTTGAAATGTCCCTTCAATTTGTCGCTATTCATAGCACAGGTGCCGTGTTTGGTCCACTCATGTTTCCAGAAGTCTTCATGTTTGCCATTCTCCTTAAGAGTCGGCCATTTTTGGATCAATTGACTTTCTAGTGATTTGATTTTTGAAACATTAAACGTACTTTCAAAGCAACAATATTGTGGCCATGAATTGTTGGTGTGTTGCGGCCACGCACCGTGAACTGTCCACGAGTTACGGTTACGGCTACCACATCGGGTATTGTTACAGAAAGTGGGCACCCATTGGACGGCTAATAATACATAACCAAAAGTTTGATTTATTTGACAGGCCTTAGCGTTGACTGATGTCGACAGTGACTCGTTATGAGGCACTGACATACATAGGACTACAGAAAGTGTTAACAAACTTATTAACAATATTACGGATGAATTCATGATTATTAAAATACAATGAATTTTAATGGTAACTATGATTACCTCTAAATTTATGTTTATAAGTCAATCATAACTCATATTTATATAGTTTGGTTGTATACAAAAATTTTATATTATATGGTTTATATTAGTGATGTCATGTGGTTTTGATTTGATTTGATTTAATTTATTAGTTATCACATATCCTTCACAACGGAGAATAAGTTATAAATTTAATTATTATCCTCTCGTTTATGAGTCACTGACTTTTATGATTTATAAATATATTTGTAATACTATTGAACTAATCAAATACTAATTTATATTTAAATGTTTATATTAAAAATATATTAAATAATTATAAATTTTGATTTCATAAACAAATATTAAATAGCAAATGAATAATATTGGTAATAATATTAATTAATTAATTTTTTAATCTAATCTAATTTACAAATTAATCTATTGAATATATAATAATTTATTAGACACTTTTATATAATATTATCACTTTTATTTAAGCAATTTGATTGCAACTTTTCAAACAATATCATTTTTAACAACAACAAAAAATTATATTATTAAGAAATATAATTTTTGATTTATTATTTATTTGATAGATTAAAAATATTATTAAATACTAAATAATCAATTGTATACAATATTGCATTTGAGTTGCAACTGTTTTTACATTAAACAAATATTATAATTATAAAGTTGATTTTTTATAAAAATTTGCAAAAAATGCTAAAATATAAGATTATAAAATAAATCAGAATGCATAGTATAATATAGATGTTATTAATACAATGATTATTTTTATAAATTCATTATAGACCTATGATAACAATAACAATAAATTTAAATATAATTAATAATTTTATCATTTTTTAGGCAATTATAATATATATTATTACTTTATAAGTTTGTTATCCATTAGATATTTATACAAAATGTTTAGTTATACAAAAAATAGTAAACAATATTTTAATCTTAGGAGACATCGGTAGATATCTTTTTGTTTTTTATATTCAAATTAATTGAATCCTTAAACAAACTTATTTGATACAAATTTTTAAATTTTGTTTCTTTTGATTATTATTTTGTTTTTTGGATTTTATTTAAAAAATTGTATTTATATTTAGCTATTTGTTTATATTTTCCATATTTTTCATCCAAACGTTTGCTGAAATCCTGAGCGAATTCTTTCGGAAATTTTGTGGCTTTTTTATAGACGACATCAATAGAGTCAATATAATGACCAATTCGTTGACCAAAAGGTAGTGATTTGACAACAACTTTCTTTATGTCTTTAGTCAACTCAAGTGAATCTTTATTTGATTGTTGAAGAGATCGACGATTGTCTTCGGTTTCTGTATTTTCCAATTTTTCAACTTTTTTTTCTTTTTCTGTTTTTTCAACTTTTTCTTCATCTTTATGTTGAGATTGTGATGAGTCGTCACCAAACATCTTATCGATATCATCTATAAAACAAAATAAAAATATATTATAAATAAAACATGACTGAAGGCATTCAAACCCGAATAACTTGAATAACTCCTAATTCCTCCATATTTTTCTTTTTTTTCTACTTCTTCACCATCTTCTGCATAGTTTTCTCTATAGTGTAAACCATATCTTTGTTGTGATTCATATTCATAATAATCATCAAATCTGTCTCTTAATGGTTGATTGTAATCATTACTTTGATACCTATAAGGATCATAGCTATTGTAGTAATGATAATCATAATAGCATTCAATGTAAAAAATATTAATAATAGTAAAAAATAATTGTTTGTACAATAAAATAGACATTTTAAATTTAATCAATATTTTTAAAGTTTTACGTAATGTCTATATTGATTAAAAATTTATACACAATAAATAAATAAATTCTCAAATATGTTTTGCATTGAATAATTTTATTTAATATTAATTACTTGAAAATAAAATTAAACAAAATTATTAATAAAATAAATAGGTAAGTATTTATATATTGAACTGTCCAAAACTATAGAAATTATAAATTAAAATTTTAATATTAGAAAATAATTGTTTTAATATTAGCTTCTTTATTATTTTATTTATTAGCATAAAAACAGGTGTTATCTTAAAAAATCATTTAATTAATGTATAAATTAGTTTTTATTAAGTATAAAAAATTTTTAAAAAAATTAATAAAATATATTTATAATTTCTATAGATTATAAATAACAATACAATAGTTAAGCCAACAATTATTCAAAACTAATTATCAGAACTAATTTAACCGAAATATCTTCATTTGTTATCCCATTTTGTGATGAATTTGTATTATTAATCATTTGTTTTAGTATTTGTATCTTTTATTCTCAGTTGTTGTTCATTATTATTATTATTATTATTATTATTATCATTATTATCATTAGTTAAATGATGACTATCTAGTCCTCCATATTTTCCAGCTCTAAACCCATCCCTAAAGCCAGCCGTATAAGCGGCTCTCATACCGTGTCTAAAGCCTCCCCAATAGCCTCCACCCGCGTTGTATTCATCGCTAATACTCTGTTGTTGTTGATGTTGTTGTTGGTGTTGTTGTCTAAAATCTTGTGGTTCATTATTACACAATATTAACTTTATGTTTATTAACATTAATAATATTAAAGTAAATTTACAAAACATTGTATAAATAATTTTAAACAGAATTATCAATAATTATGATATTTATTAATTCAAAACTATTGATATGTATTTTACAACTGCAGTTACACGTAAGTTACTAATACCGTATAGTCTATTACATAGAAAATAGATGAAACCATATTGTAATTTTATATTAATTAAAAATTATTTTTTTATATTCAATAAACTTTTTTAAAAAAATATTAATATAAGTTCACTAACAAAATCTCTCCAATTTTTCGGAAAATATGGAAAATATATTATTTTCACTGAATTCATCATTAGAAAGGAAAAATATATTTTATATTATTCTAATAAATAATACTAAAACTTAAATATTTTGCAAAAATACAGTACTATTGAAATATTTAAAAATAAATTTTAATTTAATAAACTTAGTGATACTACAGTATATGGTAATAACACTCAAAATACAGTTTAATATAATTTTTTTTCAATCATTATAATAAAATTTGTTGTTTAGAGTTCAATAGATACACAACCATAGATCAAATCCACTGGCACACTGTGGAAGTTAGCAATGTTATCCAGTAAAGTCATAGCAATAGGCGCTGCAACTATTATACATATAAAGTCAATTTGCATGTATAAGTTAGGGGAAATCTATCGGTGCTTATATGTTTGATGTATGTACACAACTATTTCAATACAAGGAAATAAAATCCATGAGACATAAGGAGAAGTGAAGATCAGTAACTTTTTGATTAATAAAACGAGAAATAAATTTGATTGAACCCTATTTATAAGGTCTATCTATACAGTATATTAGAAATATATTGAAACTTAAAAATATTAATATTTATAAAATAATTTAAAACTATTGAAGGGATAAAAAAATTAAAATAAAATTTAAGGTTAAAAAACATTTATTTAAAAACTATGGGACAAGTGATCATATTTAAAACAAAGTTACAGTTTATATATTAGTGTAAAAACTATTAGATAATCATAGAAATGCAATTAATCTTAAAATACATGTTATACAGTATAAAGTTATTTGCAGGAAGTAATAAACAATTAAATATTATATATTTATAAACAATATAACTATTAAATTTTGATAAACATTTAAATAATTAATTTTATGTAGAAATATGTTTCTACACTATTATTGTAGATGGTTATAAAATTAATTTTAATTTTAAAAAAAATGTTTTTTGAACAAGGTAAAAACCTTAATCAGCTTTTGTTATAATGTAAAGCTCTGACATAAAAATTCAAAATTCAATTCAATATTAACCCAAATTCTGTTCTAATTTTTTTATTAATTAAATTAATTAATTAATGTTTAGGATTATTAAAATTTTGTTAATCACTATATATCTAATGCTAACCTAATCTTAAACTAATGTCTATTTTTCTAATTCCTTTAAAATTCTATTGTTTAATTTTAATTTAATATTTTAATTAATTAATTAGTTTGAGAACTTTTTAAGCATTACTTTAAAACTACTCAATACTCTATAAATATTATGAATATAATTATTTCTAATAAATTAAATTATTTATATAAATTATATTAACTAATTATTTAAAAATTATTAAAGTATTAAATATATACAAAGAAAACATGACATGTTATATTATTTTTGTAAATAATTTTTATTATATAAAGTAGATTAAAATATTTAAAAATTACATATCATTTAACAATTTATTATGAATTAATATTATATAAAATTTTTATTATAATGTGTTTTGAAGACAACATAAAACTTAATAATTAAATTATGACTTAGTATTAATTTATTTAAAAAACAATATTATTATTACAATATTGTTAAAGCAAATAACCCATTATATGCCAAATCCTAACATAACACTATTAGCACCTCTCAATTGATCTTTTTCGTTGTATTTCCACCCACCAGTACCTCTACCCCCACCTTTACCCCCACCCTTATCCCCATCATCACTACTATCTTCATCATCACTTTCATCCATTGAACTGAAACTACGGATCCCTCCATCAGAATCTCTATGACTTTCATGACCTTCATAACCACTTTGCCGTCTTTGACCTGGATAGCCTCTATGACCTCTTTGACCTCTTTGACCTCTATAACCGCCATGAGAACCAAGTGGTGTTTCATATTCATTACCATATCCTCCACGATGTCGGTTATGATCTTTTAAGAAAACAAGATTTATATTCACTCTATATTATAATGTATTAAACATATCCATTACCCACCTATACCTCTATAATCTAAGTTATTATAGGATGAAATGCCGCCTTCTTTACCCAACTGATGGATTTTATTTTTGATTTGTTGGATCCATTCATTTGCTTTTTGAAATCCAATTTGAAATCTATTTTTTATTAATTCAAGTGATTCATCAAATTTTCGTTTGCCATCACTTCCCAGACTATTATAGAAAAAACTAAGTTTTTCTTTCAAGAATTGTATGAACTTTTCGTGTAATTCTTGTGCCTTATTAATGGCTGAATTCAAGCCATCATCAGATCTCGCATTTGCAATGATAGCCTTTCCTGCGTTGCTTAGCGCTATCTCTGCTTTTTCAATACTATTGGCAATTGCTCGGGGATTCAGTGAGTTTTGGCCGCTTTGTCCCGAATACATACTAATACCACGATCTCTCTGGTCATCAAAACCGTTAAACTCTCTTCTGTTTCCGTATCCATGTCTGCCATAATGAGGGTGTGATCGGTGAGAACCGTAGCCTCCGTGACCATTCCCACTACCATAACCTCCATTTCCATAGCCTCCATCATATTCACGATAACAGGCATAATAATTGACACATAAAACTATTGTAAAATAGTATTTAAAACAATACATATTTTTATATTATTTTCAATGTATTAAATTATTTTTTTGCACCTTTATTATTATCAAATACTGTCACTTTTATTTAATAAAAATGTATTTAATTAAAGTTTATATTAAAAATGAATGCATAAATCAAATATGTTAGTGTATAAAATTATATTAAGCATTTAGTTATTATTTTTTAAAATTATTTTAATTTAGTAAAATATAGTATTTGCATGTAAATGCAATTTTTAAAATGAAATACATGTATAATGTTATACATATGATTAAATATAATTATTAATAAGCATAAATTTTATTTTTAAAAATTAGATAAAACAAATATTTAATTAAAAACATTGTTTGATTATTTGATAATTTTTAGTTTATGTAATAATACTTAATCCTTGTCCTAATCAATGGGTCTTTAAAAACAATATTGTTTTAAAGTTTGTCTCAATTTTCAAAAAATACAGTTCCGTTTGACTATAATTGCAAAATAAATTATTTTAAATTAAAACAAATTGTATTTTGATATAATAGTTGATCAATGAATTATGCATTATAATATAGAAAAAATAAAAATTATTTATTATTAAAAATTGCCTAAAAATATATAACTTTTAAGTAAATATAATATTTGCCTATTTTTTACTAACTTCTATAGTGATTTAAAATTATTTTTTAACACTTTTGTATTGATAGCCTACTGATAATCATTAGTCCATAAAATCCATATTATAACCAAAATATTTATTGATGATAATTATTAGTAAATATGAGTTATATTAAAACAAAAATTTTAATAAATTATAACCATTAGTCCATATGAGATATAATATTATTACCAAAACCAATATAACCAAAACTCTGAACAAAAATATAAGATTTATTTTAAATTAACATTTATATATTAATAAAATTAATCCATTAATTGTTTAAAATAAATTTAAAATATGTTCATGTCTAAATAGGTCAATATTTTTTAAGACAATAATATCTTTTTATTTTAATGCTTTATATGAATTAAAAATTTTTACTTTTGGCCGCAATTTTGTCCATTTCATTTTTGATGATAATTTTCTACATATTATTAGTAATTTTGTGTCTGAATTTGAAGTCAGAATTTTAAAATTTGCAAAATGAAAAGCCACAGACAGACATACAAATATATTTCAGAAAATAAACTTTTTTTAACTTTATATTAATGTAAGTTTTGCTTACTTTGTTGATCACAACTTTGTATCCGCAAACTAGCGGTAAATTTCTCCTCAAAGGAGATCTCCTCGAAACAATTGTCCATAAATTTACCGCTAGTTTGCGGATACAAAGTTGTGATCAACAAAGTAAGCAAAACTTACATTAATATAATAATGAGTGTCGACAACTACAAAAAACTTAATAAATTAATAATTTTTTAACTTTGTTTGAAAATAAATTAATGAATATTATATATAGTATATACTTATAGAAAAATAATTTTAATAATTACTTATGTAGTTATAACTTATAAGTTTAAGAACTTTAATTATACATCCATTTTATGTTTAGCTAAAATAATATTAAAACTAAAAATAAACTTACATTACAACAGTATACTCATAATACTAAAAAAATATAAATAATATTCTATAAGAATACTTAAATAAATAATAATTTAAATTTATTTTACAAAATAAAATTACAAATAATTATAATAACAGACAATCAATGAAATCATTTTATGAACGAAATATGATCTTAATTTGAAGTTTGGTCACCAAATATGTTGTCGACTTGTCTGTATGTCCCGTCACGATCTCTGGCACCGGTCAATGTATCTTTGACTCCCGTAAATAGTTTGTTAGTTGCGCCTAAAACTCCCCGTTGGACTCCGTCATCGATATAGTCTACTTCTCCTGTATTTAGTTTTTCTACGGCCTCTGCGCCCACGTATTTCAAATTATTGGCCAATTTTAAACCGGCGGCGTAGCTCTGGGACACTTTTTTACGGCCAAATTCATAGCTATATTTTATTCCTTTTTTTATGTCGTCTGGTATGGATCTGCCCATATCAGGGTGTTGCCCCCGACGCATACCTGGGCGTCCTGACGGTCCAAATAGTTTGGTCTGTCCGTTGGGTACATTACGTGACTGTTCAGGTAATGGTCTTATAGGTAATTGTTTTCGTTTTTGTTGATTTTGTTGCAATGGTATCGGTTTTGCCACTCTTGGAGGCGGCAGTTGTGATCGTATAGGTGCCGGACGGGAAGATTGACGGGTATTACTACCATTTTTAGGGTATTTTGAAGAACCAACTTCACTACCCAATGATGAAAATAATTTAATGTCATCTTCATCGACGCCATCATTATTGTCTTCACTTCTATCATCTATTGATGACTGTCGACCATATTTGCCCGGATAGTCATATCCTCTATGTCTACCATTCCTTTTTGGAATGTCCTCATAGTCTATATGCCGACGTAAAGTGCCATATACTCTATGGGGTGATTCATAATCAGTAAAATCATCAAATCTTCGGTAACCTGAATAACGGTCATAATAACAGTGTGTAATAGCAATAATCAAATAAAATAAGTTTATTAACAAAAACAATTTTGACTTCATTGTTATATATAAAATATAGTATAAAAATATTATATTATTTAATTAAAAAAATTATTACTTTTTAATTTTTTTATAAACAGTCAAATATGTTTATATTTCATTTTTTATTAAAGTATTTATTATTAATAAGTGTTGTTATATAAAAATAACATAATCGATATTAATAATATAAAATAAATGCTTAATTATTATATTTACAGTAAAAAAGTACTTTTTTAATATTTGATGTTATTTTTTAATAAATTCTTTAATAGAAATTATTAATTTGTGTTAATACTTATTATTGTTAGTAATATCAAATACCGTATATTTACCTATAAATATACGGTATTTATAGATTGAATAGTTATATTATACTTTAAGATTCCATTTTCCCCCATTTCCCCCATTTCCTCCATTTCCCTGTCTCTTAGGTATGGGTCTAATGGGTATAACTGGACGCCGGGGTGTCTTCTTACGAGTTGTAGTCCTTCTTCTCCTTCGTGTAGTTGTCTTCCGCTTACGTGTTGTTGTTCTTCGCTTTTTAGTCGTTGGTTTAGTTATCTTAGTTGTCGTTGAATTTAGTATTGACTCTGGAGTTGTTTCATCTGTATTATTGTTATCAATTGTGTGGTGTGTTGTTGTTGTAGTAGTAGGTGGTGGTGGAGTACCGCATACAATCTCGTGACGCTTTTTCTTTAATTGATGTAATATTTTGTCATCTTTTTGGTGAAGTTTGATTTGATGAAAAAGTTGAGTCAACTGTTGTAAGTCGTGTTGGTTGTGATTGACGTGCATTTTGTTTTGCAATATAGAGAGGAAATGGTAGCCAAACTCTGTTGTCGGTTCAATGATAGTTCCCTCTCCGTAATCATTCCAAGTGGCCAATTGAATGTCATCGCAATTATTTAATGCCAGATCTAATGTGTGTTCAAATGTAGTTGGACTGACTGGAATTGTCCAATTAGGTCCGGGCCAACCACCATATTGATAGTACGGGTGAAATCCCGGATAGGCCACTGCAAATTTAATGGGAACGTTACGATATTTCCAAAAATTAGTCAACCCATCCATGAAGTCGGTATAAATCCATTGAAACTCTCCCTTAGCCATAGAACCACCCTTTTCGATGTCATACCAAAGTGTCAAAAATGTTGGTTTCGGTTCTAACTGTACAAACACTTTATCCCATTCAACCCCATTAAGTGCCAATGAACCAAAATTAAGTAATAATGGTGCATTTTCATAATGAATGTAATTGGGCAAATTAAAATAATGTTGTTGTATGTATTTCATATCTAACTGTCCCTGTGCTATTAAATCATGTATAGCACCGGCATCTCTGGCCATTTTTAAGGTAAAGTCTTCATAAATAATACCAAATTGTAAACAATTGCGAAGAGTTCCCGCAATAATAGCTTCGGAATTATGCAAATTAATGGCAAAATCATAGACATGTGTAGTCCCGTACCAATCAATCAAAACACCTGAAATGCCCGACAACTTCATGAGCCCTAACTGCCAATCAATGACATCCGGATCACTTGAATCGTATAATCCAATAATTGGATAATAATGTGACGCTATATTACGTTTGCCGTGAGTGTGAATATCGGGGTTTCTGGTGGCCATTGTCCAATGACTACCCCAGGTCCCATTGTTTGTCAATGGAGTTTGAAACCATGGCATCATATGCATATACACACGCTTTAATGACCAACATATTGTCATTATTTCTAAAACTAGTATAAATATAAGTAAAAAGTTTGTCATAATAATTGTTAACTAATAATAGAAACTAATGAATTAAATCTCAATTTTGCAATTTTTCTTATGTTATAACAATGAATCAATAACTGTGTGTTTGATTATATTAAATTGTTTCTAATATTAATGTGAAATATAATGTGTATTCAGTTGTTAATTGAAATATTGCGAATATTATAAGCAATAACTTTTTAATTAATAACATTTAAATAGTTTGTAATTAATCATTACTATCATTGCTACTTAAAAGTTATCATTTAATGATTTAAAGTTAACTGAAATAATCATTAAATACTTTATTTAAATTATTATAATATAAATATACAAACATTTGAGTTAATATAAAATAATATAATAATTATTAAATATTAAAAATTTTCATTTGTTTTAATACAGAAAAAGAGTAAATTTATGTAAAAACTTTAATCATTTCTTACTTTAAATATTTAAACATTTTTATATTATGTTGTATTGAGTAAAATCCTAAAAATGTCGGTCCAGGACCCAAAATCTATGGTGGATAAAGTGACTCTACTATACCTCCAATTGCTAAACCCTGATATTAACTTAATTATTCCCAAATATTATATAAGCGACAAATAGAGAACAGAATTATTTTAATTGAAAATCAATACATAAGTAAACTTAAACATAAAAATTAGAATTTAAAACAATTATAACAAAACTATCAATTTAGTAAAAATATTTTTTATTAATTTTTACTAATTGAATAAATTATTACTTCTAATAACACTTAAAGTTTATCATGGTTAATAAAAAGTTATGATTAAATTATCGGACATAAATTAGTAAAATATTATCATATAAATTCAAATATTAAGTATTTTTAAATAAACACATAATTATAATTTACTGATTTTTTGTCAATTTTTATTATATTGTCAAATATGCTCTCAGTTTTAGTTTGAAGATGTTTGCAAAATTTGATAGCTATGTAATGTGCAGATGTGTATGTGTATGTGTATGTGTATGTGTATGTGTATGTGTATGTGTATGTGTATGTGTATGTGTATGTGTATGTGTATGTGTATGTGTATGTGTATGTGTATGTGTATGTGTATGTGTATGTGTATGTGTATGTGTATGTGTATGTGTATGTGTATGTGTATGTGTATGTGTATGTGTATGTGTATGTGTATGTGTATGTGTATGTGTATGTGTATGTGTATGTGTATGTGTATGTGTATGTGTATGTGTATGTGTATGTGTATGTGTATGTGTATGTGTGTATGTGTATGTGTGTATGTGTATGTGTGTATGTGTATGTGTGTATGTGTATGTGTATGTGTATGTGTATGTGTATGTGTATGTGTATGTGTATGTGTATGTGTATGTGTATGTGTATGTGTATGTGTATGTGTATGTGTATGTGTATGTGTATGTGTATGTGTATGTGTATGTGTATGTGTATGTGTATGTGTATGTGTATGTGTATGTGTATGTGTATGTGTATGTGTATGTGTATGTGTATGTGTATGTGTATGTGTATGTGTATGTGTATGTGTATGTGTATGTGTATGTGTATGTGTATGTGTATGTGTATGTGTATGTGTATGTGTATGTGTATGTGTATGTGTATGTGTATGTGTATGTGTATGTGTATGTGTATGTGTATGTGTATGTGTATGTGTATACTTTATAAAATTATAATCAAAATGTAATGTTGTATTTGACTACAAGAAAAAGTAGGTTTTATAAAGTTAATCGATAATATGTTTTATTTATATATCTATAAGAGTCACTAAAAATTACGAAAAGAGTAAATACTGTATAATGAAAGGACAGTTAGAGAGAGGGCACAGACAGCATCACATCATCACATATAAAGTATCTCATATTATGCCGTATTTTCAGGACATGTATAGTATAGCATCCACTCTCCTTCTCCCTCTAAAAGCACGTATAATGTATCGATCGGTGCCTATCGATCGGGTGTAACAACTATTGCTTGCTATTCAAAAAACATAACTATAGTATTACTTATATTATTATTATTGAAAATGTCGGTACAGTTGTGGTAAACTAGTCTGTACTTCGCAAACATTCAATAATATTTACTAAATTATTTGATTTATTATCAATCAATACGATATTATTAATATATTAATAGTTTTTTAAATATCACTAAAATTATTTTTATTCAATAGTTGTAATTGATTTTTTCAAATAATAATTGAGTGATGAATATATTAGTTGTTAGATAATTTAATTGATTAAAAACTCTATTCATTATGCGATGAATTATTTGAAGAAAAAATTGAAACTCAATCATAAAGCAAAAGCCGATGACGACGACGATTATGATAGTTATATACCGGTTGTACCGCCACATCCATCGACATTAAGTGCTAACAGTGCCCACAATACACATATTAATAGTTCTGATATACAACAACCTAATGGTGATCCCACACAAACATTACCAGTGACCGGACAGACACAACAAACTGAAGTTAATGCTGAAGAGTTATTAAAAGAGTTAAAGGAAAAGGAGTTTATTAGGCGTCAGGAAGAGAAACAACAGATTTTGATTCAAGAAAAGGAAAAACAGAATCGAGAGGACTGGCAGTTCTTCTTAAGTTTGACCGCTAAGGTTGAGGACATCACTAATAAAACTCAAAGCACTTTAGAGAAACTTAAAGATACCTCAGCTGTCGATGAAATATCCAATCAAATAGATGACGGACTCGAGTATGTGCCACAACCTGATGTCGTTGTCGTGAAGAGTGCCGGACAATGGGTCGCATTCAGTGAAGACGGACAGCAACCTAGTAATCAACAAACTGATCCAGGTATTATTACTTCAATTATTATTAATAACTAAATTATTAAACTATTAAATGTTTTATTTTTACAATTATTGGTAAAAACTTTATATATTATACTTATAAAATTAATTTATAAATAAAAATTTATTATATTATATCTATAAATTATTTAAAATTATATATATATTATTTTATTTTATTTCAAATTAATTTAATATTAGACATAAATTCTGATAAACAAAAGCCAACAAAAACTCCGCAACAGATTACAGAAGAGTCACTAAAAAAAGTAGCCAAAGAAGTGAAACCAGAGACCATTAATTTAGAGACATCTAATTTATTGGACGATTTTGGTTTCAATAAAGAACCCGAAGTAATACCAGTCGCTTATCAACCGGTCGTTTTTGAAGAAGAGGACTACTTAGACGATCCCTTTGATACATCATTTGTAAACGTGTCGACAGTTGCACCCAAAGCGGCTGCAGAACTCATTTTGTCGAAAAGTAATGTTAAAAAGTTGTTAAAAACTCCGAGTAATCCCGAAATCTTCGATATTGATCCGTTTGACACATCATATGTGGACACAGCTGTCAGTGGCCAAAGTGTTGTGAAACCAAACTCTATAGATATCAGTCCCATTGAAACCCCACAAACTTTACCCGATTATTCACAGCGTATATCTCGCTGTTCATCACGTGATAGCATAATGTCTAATCCATTTCTTCAGGATTATAATGATTATTATACCCCCTATGCCTCGGGTGCCCACTCACCCCATTCAGGTATAGATTTCATGTTATTAACATTTTATATATTTATTTATATAATTACTTATTTTTATATTATATAAATTCATTTTTAAATTATATAAATTATTAAATGTTTACACAAGTCTAATAATATATTATATATTATTATATTATTTTTTAAAATTAAATTAGAAGTTATTATAGTGTATAAGTAGCTATTTTTAAAATAAATTTATAATCATAATTATACATATTTATATAGCTATCATTTGATATAATAAAGAAAACTATTAATAGATATTATATTACATACTACACATTATTATAGAGTAATTGATAACAAATAAAAGTTATTTTTTATTTTACGTTAAGTATAATTTAAAGTATTTAGTTTTATAGCTGTAAATTAATTTTTGTAGTAATTGTATTAAATTAAATTATATATTCTATTATTTAATAAATGAAACCAATTATATAAATAAAATTAATATGAAATGTAATTCAAAGGGACGGCAACTCCGAAGCGTAGAAACTCAACGAATCCATTTGAAGAATCACCTGAAGAAGAGGTGAAAAATGTGGTCAGTAGTGGCCAATCACCGGTTGCTTCGGCCATCGCTGACATGACAGCAGACTTTTGTAACGCTATAAGTGCTAATTCATATGAAATATCGGAAGCAGTGGTGTCTAAGACAATAGCCACAGCCAAACAAATGGTCGACACAACAGTGTCTCAACCATTTGATCCATTTGCCACCATTCATGACGATGAGACACCTAAACGCCAATCGGTGACCGACGACATAACCTGTGCTAACAAAGTCATATCACCACAAGAAGATCCCTTCACTACTCATGTCATTCATACGCCTGAGTCACCGATAGCGCCGATAGATCAGTCATTTTTGAAAGCTATTAATGACCAAAATAGCTATTATTTATCTGATTTGTCGGATAATGAAGAAAGTGCCGACAAAAATATTAACAATTTTACCAATAATACCAATAATACCGGCGATGATATAAACAATTCTACTCGAAGAAGAAGTAGTGCCTTTCAGATGGAATTATTATCAGGTAATCTGAAATTTTTTTATTTAAATTATAAAATTAAATTTACAAATTAGGTGATAAAGATCTACCGGCGCCTACCTTTGAACCCATACCAACAACTAATATACTAAAGAGAAAAACATCGCTTCCAATACAAGAACCTCCAGAGGAATTGATAGATATCGCCAATACATATGACTCTTCAAATACAATACCACAAAATCAATACTTTGATCCTTTTCAGACTGTTTTTGATAAGGATCCCGAAGAAGATGTTAGCGATGCCTTGTTTAGTACACAACCTATTGATTCACAACAATCACAGGTTTGTTAGTTTTTTTTATAAAATAAAACTTATTATAAATATAATATATAACAAAAAATATAATAAATAAAATGTTATATTTTTTATATTTTTGTCAATACATTGCAGATATCAATGACTGAGAGCTTAGAAACGAATATCAGAGGAAGGCTATCAACACAGGACTCAATCCAAGATTCGGGTTATCCTAATAAAGATGCTGTCGGTATAGTCAACGATGCTTTTGATGAAGTTTTGGTTCAAGATTTTGATGAAGTTTTGGTTCAAGATTTTGATGAAGTTTTGGTTCAAGATTTAGAACAGGAAACAGGTATTATTGAACCGGCAGTGGACAGGGATATTAGTGTTGTGCACATTAGTGGTGACGACTATTACGGTGGTATTGAGGCAGACAATAGTGCATTAGACTCACAAACCAGTGATACGACAAATGCGTTGCTTTCGGATAACATAACCGCCGACGCGACCACAAATGCACAGACATTTGGTGCCACAACTGATTCAGGAGTGGCCGTCGTTTCAATTCAAGACGACATCACAGACTGTGGCAAAGATCCATTTGATACGTCCGACTTTGATTCGGCCGCTTTTGACGCTTTCGCTAACAAGTTTGAATCCTCGGGAACCGCTGATAATTCTGTTTCATCCTATGATCCATTTGCGTCTCCACTCAAGAGTATTAGCTCTAAGCAGAAAACGGATGAATCAGATACCGATGCTTTTGATATATTTGATCCGTTTTCGAGGTCATCAATGAAGGCACCAAAAAATACTCCGGCAAAGGGTTATCGGGACGCGTCTAAAGACTCATTTGATGACGAAGACAGCGATAACTTGAAGATTGTTATCAGAGCTAAAGTAAAGGAAAACATAAGCGACCAAAAAGATATCAAATTAGGTATTTAATTAAAGTTAATGATTTATAATTTATTATAAATACGTATTATTATTATCAGCTCCGCCACCACTTTTACCTCCACCACCAAAATCACCAAAATTCTCGACATTGGAGGGAATGGATTTGATGCCCGAAGAGAATGAAGTGGTTGTCGATGAATTCGAGGCATTCTTCGGTGGCGGACAACTATCAGAAGCGGCTCAAGCAGTGCGACCAATAGGTGGCGATCAAGACTGGCCGACAGTCTTTGGTGAAGCGGCATCAAAGAGAGCCGACTCTACTGAATCACCGCAAACACCACTCTTCGATGACGACACTTCCGTCCCATTGGAGGAGTTTCCCGCTAAATATGAGGGCGAGGGCTGGGAAATGGTGTTGAGATACCCAAACAAAAAGAAATTAACGGCTAATAGATGTTGGAAGAAAATATATGTAAAATTTTTGACTGATAGCTGTATATTTCAATTGTTTAACAAAGTGGGAGACAATAACCCATTTCAGGAAACACCACTTCAGGCTTCCTATTCATTATCTGATATATCCACTCAACAGTATGATCAATACGGAAAGATATTTACTATAAAATTGCAATACATATTTTATCGAGAACGGGTAGGTGTCCGACCGGGACAGATAGCAAAAGTAATGCAGGGACAAATCACATCAATGGGACAGTTTGCCAAATTGGGAATGCCATTAGAGCACTCACCTCAAGTCAGCGAACTATTTAAATTGGGTTCACATAATTACAACGACTTACAGCAAATGCAACAAGTGGTTGAAGAGGCACTCTTTAGGATGACTATACATCGCGATCGGGCCCTCACCTACAAGACTGAGGAGATCCAGTGTGCAGTTCAGGATGAGCTCTATGTCGAGCAAAACAAAATGGGAATCATTACCAAACAGTTGGCCAGAGTTCGCATATTTTTCCTCGCATTTGTTAATGGTTTGTATAATACTAATGTTAATAAATCTCAAACAATTAATTTTTAATTTACTTATTGTTGACGTTATGTTTAGGAATGCCTGTAATTGAAGTCGGAATTAATGATCTTAAAAGACAGGGCAAAGAAGTGGTGGGCAGACATGACATTATTCCAGTAGTCACTGAGGAATGGATCCGATTGGAGGCCATGGAGTTCCACTGTTGTGTACAACCTGAAGACTTTGATTTAACTCGTATTATAAAACTGATTCCTCCCGACGCGTGTCACTTTGAATTAATGCGATTCCGGATTAGACCACCACGTAATCGGGAACTACCACTTCAAGTAACAGCTAATATGAATATTACAAAATCAAAAGTGGAGATCAAGTGTGATGTATTAGTTCCCGGATGTATATCGAGAAAACACGGACAGATACCATGTGAAGACATACAGATCAGATTCCATATCCCCGAGTGTTGGATATATTTCTTTAGAGTAGAGAAACATTTTAGATACGGTGCTCTTAAATCTGTTAATAGAAGGGCCGGTAAAGTTAAGGTATATTTTTAATTGTTAGCATTAATTTTTGATATAATCAATATTGTCTAATAATTTAGGGTATTGAGAGGTTATTGGGTACAACACAGAACCCGGACCCACAAATGATTGAAGTGACGGCAGGTCAGGCCAAATATGAACACGCATTCCATTCTATTGTATGGAGAATACCCAGACTTCCTAAAGAAGGACAGGGTTTGTAATAGTAATTACTGGTAAATGCAATCAATTATATTTAATAATATCTATATAATGTTATATACAGGTGCTTACACTCAACAGTTCCTTGTAGTTACCCTTCCATTGACATCCTTTGATCAGATGCCTGAGTCCTTCTATGAATACGTTCACATTGAGTTTCATATGCCATCGACCACTGTTTCGCACACAACTCTGCGCTCAATATCGGTGTCCAATGAGAACCCACCGGAAAAATTTGTGCGGTATTTGGCTAAATATGAGTATAAAATTGATCTCAACGTTACATATGACGAGGAAAAGGAGCCCATGACATACACAGCCAACGTTCACGGCGGCAGTGCTCCCGTCACCGGTAGAAAACTGTCCATCGATTCGGAAAATAACGAGAACAGTGCCGACAACAAGTTGGACAGGAATGAAGAAATCGGTGCCGAGGATAGTGATGATAGCGATTGAATTCATTAAATATATTTAACAGCAATAATATAATACATTACTCTCTAAATACTCATTTAATGGGATGTCTTGTGTTGTCATAAAAAAACATTATTCGCATATTATTTTGATTTATTATTTAATTGTTATTTAATAGGAAAATGGATAATTTATTTTAAATTTTGTTGTTAATATTTGTTAATTTTATAAAAAATCTTTTATTTACTATTATGTATATCAATTAAATTATCTTTTTTATTGGAGTCAATTATATATATATATATATCCATAGAAAACAAATATGATAAACAATAACCATTAATTTTTGAATCGTATATTTGTTGAATAATAATAAAAATAATTTTAAAAATAATAAAATTATCATCAAAAGTAATATAAACTTTACTATAAAACACACCAATTATATATTATTATTGAATTGTCAATTATGTTTAGCTGTTATAATAAATAAATAAATAAATAAATAGTAATATTAATTGAAATATTTATTTTTACTATAATCTAATTCACTTATAGAATATACAGTATTACATTATAAACTTATACCGGTACTTACTTTACTAACAAAATATTAAATATATTATTTTGAGTTTATTAATAATAGACTATTATTTTTAAAACACAAAATTATAATATTTATTCACAAAAATTTTTAAATTCTTATTTTTAAACTTTAGTCTAACTTTAATTTAAATAAACTAAATTAATACTGTATCTTATTTATTATATCCCATTCAAACTAAATATATTGAATTAGAAATTAATATTTATGCTATTTTCTATTTGTAAAAATATTTATATTCATTTATTAAAATTATCTTATTGTAAGATAAGATATATCGTTACATAAAAAATATTAAAGAAATGCTTTAATACCTTATTAACTAAAATTGTCTGATGAAAGTATATTTATCAAACATAAACTGTCAAAATATTGAAAATACAATTTTATTAAATGTTAAAAGTTAGTAAAATGTCAACAAAAATTATTGACATATCTTTAATTAAAGTTAAAAACTAATATTATAGTAAATACAACAATTATTTAACAACATTTAACAAAAACAATTATTTAAAAAATTTAACAAATTGAAATTGATTATTTATTGTAATTTTAATTTAAAACTTATTGAATAACTGTATTGTTAAAAATATAAATGTATTGGTATTTCAAATATGTTAGTAATTTTAAAATAAATTAAACATATTTTTTAATGTTTCTAGATAAAATCAATAATTATTTTCTATTGTATTTATTTAGCATCATATCAAAATTAAACTGATTGATTTTTTCTATTAATTGATATTACAAAAACATAAATAAAAATTCTAAACAAAATAATTATATAAAATTTATAAAGCTATAAATAAATTCAAATAAATATTTAGTATAACAGTAAAAAATAACAATTCAGTTGATAAATGTGTGTCTATTCAATAAAATCTATTGAATAAACTTTATTACTGTATTGAAGTAATGTATTTGACTAAACAATACAATAACTTGAATACAGTATTTATTAGCATTAAATTTTGTATTATTTACTTAAATAATGGTTTGCATAAAAAATTATTTTTATTGATTTATTTAAACAACAAAAATGTTTTATTAGTTTTTTTGTGACACAATTTTATTCATATCTTTAATCTCTTGGTTTTTAGTCATATATAAGTAATTAATATTCATTTGATTTTTCTGAAGAATAGTTTGTTTGAGTAATTTCTTGGATCGTCTTTTCTTAGCGTCGCTATAGACACAGTATATGATAACTAACGGCACAATTACTAAAGTGCAGATCAATAGTCTCTCCTTTCTGGTCGAGTAATTGCGTGGACGGAACAGGGAGTAGAAGGTTAGGTAGCATTTAGTTGATATCATATCCTCTTGAAAATTACATATACACACACCTGAAATATATTTGTTAATTATATTATATTTTATATTTAAAATGATAAAAATATATTTATTATAATAATTTTGTATAAAATATTGTTAAATATATAAATTAAAAATTTATTTTAAAACACATACCATTACTACACTCTCTATTTTCATCGCCATTAGACCAACAGTTTGAGTCTATCGTACAATTAAATGGTTGAATACCAATAATCTGATTAAATCTATAGTTAGGCCTATTATGACACATGAAATCTACGCAAACCATTTGATCGGAACAATCGTTATTATTAAAGCAATGTTTTCTGCATTTTAAGGACCGTTTATCCTCAAGAAATCCCGAACGACACTCACATTTTGATCCAAATAATGCATAAACCGGTTCATAATTATTACACTCCCGGTTCTCATCATATTTTTTACATTCATTAATACTATCGGAACAATGATATGTTTGGCAATTTTTGGTCTTATTATGCCAGATGTGGTTAGGTTTACACCGACAGTAATTGTCTAAACATACCAGACTTTCTGTACAATTATCATTAATATCACAATATTCATTAAAATTAGATTTTGATATAAAATTTTCACTAATTTTCTTGATATCACTTAATTGCTGTTCAATTTCACTGTCATTGTAGCTGCCGTTTACCAATAATGTAAATAAACTTAAAGTTAACAATAACCAAACAATTGTTATGCCAGCCATTCATACTAATAATATTTCAATTATTTAAGTTAATTTTCATAATAAAAATTAATATCTTATTTAATTAAAATTATTATAGTTAACTTAAAATTTACACAAATGTTTCTTATTACTTTTTTTAAAAGATATATTAAGAAATAAATAATTAAAAATGTCTATTAGTTTGATATATTGTTACCAATGAAAAATATATGGCATTCAGGATATGAAATCATGATATTTTATCACTTATTGTATGATATATTTATTTGTACATTGAATTTATTGAGTGTACAGCGTGTATATCGTACAGTACTGTATTATAGTTAACATTATATTTTGTGAAAACAATTATTTTATTATATGAAGCGTATACTTACTGTAGTTTATAATTATTTTGCTAATAATCATATAATACTACAAGTTTTATTTTACCTGAAAATGCTCACTATTTTTATCATTTAGTTGAGTCATGTGTTTGTTTTTAATAATGGTATTTTCTTATCACTAAAATTATTATTTAATATTAATAAAACTAATAATATTTTTAGTAAAACAATGATAAAGCATTTATTAGCTATGATGTCAAAAGATTAATAAATACTAATTAACTTATGATATAAAATCAAAGTGTGATATATTTATTATTTTAATTTAATTTATAAAAATAAATTTTTATTTTATTAAATTAAAATAGTTTATAAAATGAAAGTCAAACAATTATATTAACCCTGATTTGAAGGATATTAAGCTTTTGTTAATGTATTTTTTAATTTTGTGTATTTTTATCTCTGACTTACAATATTTTGTAGGTAAATGTTTAAAAAGTGAATAAATAATACTTAAAATATTTTAAATATGTTTAAATATAAATAAATAAATTAAATATTTGAAATAATAAAATATGAGACAATTATACATTTCAGATTAGTTTACAATTTAGTTGTAATTAATAATTGTAATAAAAATTATTATTTTTAAGACATAATTAAATTAAACATTTATTGTTATTGTTTAGTAGAAATGTTGTATATTTTATAATTATTTTATTAGATAACTACATAATATCTCAATTAAATAATATTTTATTAATTTAGTTATCATAGTTTATTTTAATTATATAATCTGCTCTAATATTAATTGTATTTTTTAATTAATTTAAAACAGTGTTTATTTTAATTGTCAATTTATTAGAAATTAAAATAACATTATTTAAAATTAATCTAAAAATTTCATTTATATTATACTGTATTAAAATTATTTTTTATTTAAATGTATATATGTATATATATATATATATATTATTGTTTACTTATTATTAAATAAATAAAAATATGAAAATAATACGGTATAAAATTGAATTGTATAATTTAATCAAGTACAATTATAAGTTAGTATATTATAATATAAATAAGTAACTCTATGTGAATCACCACCTTTGCTGCTGAGGTAGGGGTTGTTGTTGTTGTTGCTGTTGATACCGTAGAGGACCGGTGACTGTCAGATTGGCATACATTGGTGCACTTGGAGTTATAGTGCTACCATAAACAGGAGCACCGGTTACTGTAGTGTGGACATAAGCTGGTGGAGGGTCATATACAGGGGTGGATAAACCTGTTGATGTATTATTTGTCATATAGTGAGCAATGGGAACGGCATTACTTGATGTCATATACTGTGACTGTTGATGAATGACAATAGCCTGTTGTCTATTTAGTAACATTCTTCTTCTTCTTCTAACACATAATCCAATAGATATAGCAAATAGTATGGGTATTACTATGAATATCCAAACCCAATACCATATACTGATGCCATTACCATAATAATCATTTGGTGTATAACTATTCCAAATCTATTTAATTAATTATATCATTAATTGAGACAAATTTTGAGTAATTGATAAAAATATAATAATTAAAATAAATTTTATGCAAATTTACACATTTTAAGCCATCGTAATTATAATTTCCTTCTTTATAACCATATTCACAATCACACGAATCATAAGAGCAATGTCTATGAAAATCATGATTTGGATAACAATCAGTTGATTGAAATTTTTCATTACAATAGTATCGATAACATCCCTTCTTTTTAATGTTATATTTATAATTTGGTTCACAATAGCAATACTGGTTTACACAAACATTATGCGATGAATTGGTACAATCAGTTGTAACTGAACAGTCAAATCTACCCTTTACTTCAAGTTTTGTATTTGTATCACACCATTCATCACCACAATAGGCATCAGTCCTAATGATCATCCAATATATGGTCACTAAAACAAACCATACGGACAATCGTTTAAACGCCATAATTCAAACACTATCAACAACTGTGATAATATTGATGTATAAAATATAAACTTTATATGTGTTTTTTGTAATAAATATATTACAAACTAATTGTGTAATATTTTATCAAATGACTTTAATTTTGTGTTATCTCATTATTGTTACAAAAAATATTATGATTATTATTTATTAATACTTACATTTACTTAAAATTATGATTAATTAAATATTTTGTATTTAGTAAAATATATAAAATATATTAGTAGTAATATTTTTTTTAATTTTTACAAAGTTAAAAATTATTGCTATTTTTGATACATTTTTATTAATTAATATCTATTATATATAAACTATAATTTATGATATATTACTTATCAATATTTGGTTATTAAAGTAACTTTATCTTAAGGTAGTATTGACAATATAGTATTGTATATTATAAATTATAATACAGTATATCAGTATATTGTATTTGTTTTATGATATATATTTAATATTATAGTTTATTTAAACAATGATTTTAACTAATATTATTAAATATAAAAAAATTAAGTATAATCGTACTGTACTTTAATATACGAAAATATTTATTATTAGTTTATATAAACAATGAAGTTTTTGAAACTATATTTACATATATTTTATACAATAACTATTTTGATTGTAAAATTACAGTCTACTGGTGCCGACCCAACAGGCATTGAAGTTACAGTCACAGAGACCATTGTCACTGGAAAGAGACCAGCGATACAACATTCACCACAAACGCGATATACCTGTGCCATATGTAATCTAACAAATAATATGGTTTGTATTGATAACACTTGCCATTGTATGGCTAACTATTATTGGCATTTTGATAAATATCAATGCATTTATGGTATCTGTCATTCCGACTACGAGTGCCAACAAAATGGTGACATTAAGAGAAAATGTTCGGTTGATATGTGTATGTGTGACAAGGGATACACCGAAGATAAATCCAATGGCTTTAAGTGTACTTATGTTCAACAAAATATACCCAAAATAGAGGTCACATCATGGAGTTGGGCACTCCTGGTCATACCCATAGGAAATCTTATTTTTTTAATGTCCATTTTATTATAGACTAAATTATATACTTAATGTCATTTTACAATAATAATATATATTATTGTTTGTTTATTTGTTGTGTTATTTTATAATTTTTATGTTTAATTACATATTTATTTTTACAACTATTATATATTATTATATTCATCACATAAATTTATATTATGATATAAATTAATCAAAGTTATATATATAAATACTATTTTATTTATTATTTAATAAACTTGTATAAAAATTAATAAGTATAGTAAAGACGAATATAATATGATTTATGTCATATTTAAAATTATAACATAATATACTAATACTATACTATTTACAGTAATTTGAATGTATTCATAAAATTAACAGTTTTGGTGTTAATTATTATATTTTGTATTAAACAGTTTGATATTGTGATTGAGTAGCGTAAGCATAACTGGGTGGTGGCGTACAGTCATAAATGGTTGGCAGACCGGGTTGTATGACATTTGTATTTACCGGTAATTGGGATTCATTTGTACGTCTATTGTCAACATTTGATACCATTCTTCGATGTCTTGCAAATAATGCGATCCCAACGCATAAAATAATGGGAATAATAATGAAAACCCAAATCCAGGCCCATATACCCACACCTTTAGCTAATTTATCTGAATCACCAAAATATCCAAATCTCGTACATTTGCCGCCATTGTTTCGGTCGGCAATGTGTTTATGATTACATCGACACTTCCCGTCAATACATCGTCGCTTGTGGTCGTGCTGTGGACGACACAACTCTTGATTGTCACTGCAATCATAAAATTCACAACTTTTTGTAGTATTTTTATATATATAGTTAGGTTTGCAATAACACGAATCGTCAACACATACGGTATGAGTGTCTTTACCACAGCTTTTGTTGCAATTATTATAAACTTTGTGATCCGTTTCAATCTTATTGTGTTTGTTATGTTTTGAATACACATTGATTGACATTAAAGTCAATACAATAGTTATAGTTATTATTGATATTTTAAACATATTGTATAATTTTATTTTTACAAACAAACTGATTTTAAATTTATATTGTTAGTTCATATATTGCCATTTTTATCAATACATTAGTAATATGATATAAATTATCATTAGTATTAAGTACTGTCACTAGTACAAAGATTATATTGATGTAAAAATATTACCATGATTAATTAAGTCAAATACTTTTATCATAAATAAAATTTTACAAACGTTTTCATTAAATGTCAATAAATTCTTTAATTACTATTAATATATAAAAATGACAAACATGATAATTAAAAAATTAAATGTTTACATAAATTTAAAATATGATCAATTACAACAACTAAAAATTTAAATTATAGTATTTTTTTATCAAAAATAATAAGTAATGTTAATACCTGTAATATTAATAATTTATTAAGAAAAATCAATGTTTTATAATTTATCTTTTTAAAATTATAGCTTATTATTTGTATATGATTTTACTTTTATTAATTTAATAGTTTGAAAATATATATTATAAATTGTTAAATTAATTATGATAATTGCAATTTTAGAATTAACACACTAAATTAAAATTTAACAATATACGATTGATCAGTTTAATGATAAAATGATAAATATAAAATTTAATAATAAAAATTATTAATTTAAATGACATCAACAAATTAAATTTTTACATAACATTGAATTATATATTACTTAAATAATTGCATACAATATTATGAAGTATTAAATAAAATTTTATAATTAATAACAATTGTAAACATTTTATTCAATATTATTTATATAATGTTAAAAGATTGATTATGCTAAACTAATTTAATTTTCAAAAACTAAATGTTTAATTACATTGAATACATGTAAACATTTGTTAATAGCAACTATTTTTAATCTATCTCTTAAAAGTTTTGTAATAAAATGTTTTTTAAATGTTTAGATAAGAAAATGACAATTTTAAATAAATTGATGACAATATAAATAGTGTAAATGTTTAATAAAGTGCATTAATTAGCCATTTTCTCAAATAATATGCGACAGTAGTAAAAAATATGACGGGTCCAGCAATAATAGCCCAGGCCCACACCCAGGGATTGACTTGAGTTATGTCAAGTCTACATTTGTAACCATTATCGCGATCCTCTATATAACCCGAGTCACAAACACACTGACCATAATTATTATATTTAATATCTTTAACACAGTGCCGATTGTAATCACCATTTTGCCAGCACTTGTAATTTTGGGTACAGTTCATGAATTGGCAGTTTTGGTTTATTAGATAATAGTTGGCCTCACAGTAGCAGAAATGGTCGACACATACCATATGATCAAACGATTTACATGAATCACAATTTTTTTCAATATAATGTTCAATCTATTTGTTATAAATATAAAACTATTAATAATTGAAAATATAATTTCTATGAAAATATGATAACTCACACATTTGTTGCCATTAGTTGTGTCCTCAAAATAGTTGGTCAGACAATCACATGAACTTCCATTTGAATGGTTTTTACACCATCTGTATGAGTCCTGAACCGGTCGACAATCAGTTTTATTATGTTTATCACTATTACAATCATAATGTTTGCATTGTTGGTATTTTTTACTAAATTTATAATTAGGTTTACAATAACAACTTCTGTCAATACAAACGGCATTTTCATCAAAACATTTTGTCATTTTAGAGCAATATTCCTGAACCACATAATCGGTTGACATATATTTATCGATGTTTTGATAATCATTTATGACATTAAGTTTTATATTAGTAATTTGCTTCAAACAAAATGTCAAAGTAATTAATGTAATAATAATGATAGTAATATTAACTATATATATTGCATACATTTGATTATTATTAATAATAACTTATAATTTACATAAACACATAATACCGGTAATTAAATAAAAAAAGTAATTCATTTAATAAATGTTAACCAATTTCATTTTTTATATAAATATAAGTAATTATTATATTTCAACATTTAATTTATATCTTTAACAATACAGTGATTATTGATAACATGTTATAAAATTTATGATTCATTATTAATAAACACTTCTATAATATGTAATAATAACATATAAATTAATACTACAGGTATATTTAATATACAGCAAAAAATTAATATTAATATTTTAATTTAATTAATTTAAAAAATTATAAATTTCCGAAAAATATTAAATAAAATAATACATTATTTAAGAGTATGTTCAAATAAATTATATAATTAAATAATCACATAACTTTATTAAAAATAGTAATACATTGATATCTTATTATTAGCTATTTATTTGTTTTACTAATAATATAATTTCAAACTCATTGTAAATTTGTCTGAATTTGCTTTACTTTTGATTAAATGTTTGTAATTTTAATAATATAAAAAGCATTAGTAATATTTTATTTCTTCATAATAATGATTGAGATTATAATTAATGCAAATTAAATGTTTATTAATAAAATATGTGATTATGTGAAATATCAGTGTTTAATAATAACTTTATAGTTACCAATGGTAAAGAAATCTTACCATTATTATTATTATTATACCGCATACAATAATTGTGTGATTTTTATATATGATTATTATTATAATACAATTTTAATAATAAAAACTAATAATTCAGTTAAAATATTTAGTTAGTTTTGTAAAAAGAAAAATAGTTATAATTATAGTTTATTAAGGTTTTGAAAATACAACTCTTTAACACTCATATATAAAAATGTCATCAAATTATATATCATTTATTAAATATATCATAATTTTATTTACAATTATTATACAATACTATTAATTATAATATATTCTAATTTATTTAAAACAAGTTTTGTTTTGAGTATAAAATAACTTTTTTAAAGTATAGTTTTATAAGTTTAATTTATATGACTTATTATTATATATATATCTAAAATAATAGTAGAGATTTCTACAATATATTTCGATGTATATATAATTCTACATATTATAAATTATATCTTATTTGAATATAAATTAAATTATTACTACTCTATTAACATTAATTAAAACTATTTATTTAATCATAGGCATTACTACATTATATAGTAAATCTGGATATACTAATAATATATTATATTTGTATTAATATTATTTTTATACATGTAACGTTATATACTCTATACTATAGAGTCTATACAGTATAATTAAGTTTATACTAATTGGATTTTTGAATAATTTTAATTGATATTATACTTTATAGTTTATATATTATAAATGTTAATGATTAATTAATATTGATTTGGTACTAGATCAAATTTAGAAATTATTAATACAATTTGATTATATAGTATATAATATGTTTGAATATCATTATTATTGTAATAAGTTTAAAAAGTTTTAGTGACTAAAAATTAACAATTAAATAGATGTAATAACTTGTGATATATTCAATAGTATGCAAAACAGTGATAAAATAAGCCAATCGTGTAAATCAATGTTTTGCATACATTTACTATTAATAAAATTTTTTACTATTTTGTTATTTGTTTGCATTGAAAACAAGTGAAGCTTTAATTAATAACAAGTACAGTATATTATTATAATTATTATTACAAGTAATACAGTATGAAAATAATGAATGTGTGCTCAGGTATAGTGTGTTGTGATGTTGGGTTGGGTTGACTACAGGTATTAATACTGTATTAGAATATTACAGTCTTTTACATACCGTGTTATCAAACAGGTATGAAAACAATTTTATGTATACCTATCCTATCATAATAGGAACGCATTTATTTAACTCAGTATTTCAGTACTTTTATACATATAGAACACTATGGTATAGTGTAACTAAAAATGGATCAAAACTTGAATTGACATTTAAAGTGTTTGAAACATTCAATGGATTAACATTACATTGAATGTCATTTAATGTAGAGTTTTGTTAAAAAGTAATTATGAATTAACTTATAATTAAATTATTAATTATTGAATGCCTTATAATTAGTTATAATATAATAAACAATAGTATTATTAAGTGAATCGGTGTCACAATTGGTCACAACTATTGAGTCAAATGTCGGTAATGAAGGCCCGAAAGGGATCACTGGAGGGACAGTCAGTTGAGACGACATCGCTGTTGGCGGACGTCAAGCAAATGTGTAGCAAACTATCGCTCCGTAACCGCAATGCGGCCGAACTGAATCTCTTGTTGTCGAACCCACACGTGGCCGGACTCGCCGAAGCTCACGACAATGTTGTTCACCGAGCCTTCGATGACTCTGATGGCCAGTCATACGAGATGGACGTGTTTGGCAGCGAATCGGGCGACGACTCGAGTCCTATCAGTGCTATACGAATGGTCGGAATTCGCAAATTAGACAACGAACCCCTCGGGATGACTGTGGCCGTAGAAGACGGTCTTATAGTAATTGCCCGAATATTGGCCGGGAGTGTCATTGACCGCCAAGGTTTGCTGCACGTCGGCGATGTTATATTGGAAGCAAATGGTATCGAAATTACGAGTCCGGAACAGTTACAGGAAGAGCTCAAGAAATGTAAGGGTGGTATCACTTTGAAAGTCTCGCCGTCGAGTAGAGACCAAACACAACATTCCGTCTCTTATATGCGCGCTCTCTATAACTACGAACCCATTGAAGATCATCTGCTGCCGTGTCGTGAAGTGGGTCTGGCCTTCAAACAGGGAGACATACTTGAGATCTTGAATCAAGAGGACCCTAACTGGTGGCAGGCGAGGAATATCAATGAACCCAACACTCACGCAGGTCTTGTTCCGTCACAAGAATTAGAGGAACGGCGTCGAGCTTTTGTAAGACCAGAGTTTGATTACGCGACACAAACCAGTATTTGTGGCACAAGAATAACAAAGAAAAAGAAGAAAGAGATGTATCAGTTGCAGGTATGATACCATTGATTATAACAAAAGAGTTGATTAATTGATATTTATTTGTGTACTAAACTCAGGCCAACGCTGAGTTTGATAAGGCAGAGCTATTGCTCTATGAGGAGGTATGTCGGACACCACCATTTGAACGCAAGACACTGGTTCTGGTGGGCGCTCAAGGAGTTGGTAGGCGTACACTAAAGTCGCGTATGATATCATACGATACCGAAAGATTTGCTACACCACTGCCACATACATCACGTCCAATAAGAGATGGAGAAATCGATGGAAAGCAATACCATTTTGTGCGCAGAGATATCATGGAAGCAGATATTGCCGACAATAAGTATCTCGAATTCGGCGAATTTCAAGATCATCTCTACGGTACTAAATTGGACTCAATTCGATCTATTATTAAATCTGGAAGAATGTGTGTTATTGACTGCAATCCACAGGTTTTACAATTTTTAATAGTAATTTCAAATGAAAATAACTATTAATATTTGAAATTGTTTTTGAATTAGAGTTTGAAAATGTTTAAAACGGCTGAATTTATGCCATACATTGTTTTCATTGCCGCACCACCTCTGGATCAATTACGTTATATGCATGAATATGGTAGACATCAAGGCTTAGGTGTTTCACGATATCAAACGGTATTATTTGTTAATTAAATTATATTTTAATATTAATTAGTTGTCTACAGTTTGACAGAGCATTGGGTAGACATAGTTCACGACGGGTTCGCACACTTCAGAGTTTAGCCTCATTTTATGAAGAAGAAGATCTTCAGGTGACCGTTGAAGAGAGCGCACGATTACAACGGGCTTACGATAAATATTTTGATTTAGTAATCATTAACAACAACTTCGAGAAAACATTTGAACAATTAAGAGATGCCGTCGACTCACTCACTATTGAACACCAATGGGTGCCTATAGATTGGGTTTATAGTGGAGATGACTAATAATTGCTCAGAAATTTAATTGATTTCTATCTAATTATGATTTGAATACAACTTTAATTGATTAGTAATATTCAAAATTACAATTTATATATCATTAATAACACATTCCTTTTATATTACAATTTCATACTTTTAAGTGTTAAATCACTTTAATCTTATTATACGAATCTCTCTAAGTTTAAAAACTTATCGCAATTAAAGTTTTGAGATCTTTTCATTTATAATTTTTCTGCAGTTATATATATTAATATATTATAAGCAGAATTTTACATTAATTTTATCATAAAATGTTGAGCATATGTCTAATTTTGATATCTTTAAAATATATTTTTACAGTTATATACATTTTTAAGTTAACAAAATCTTAATATAATTTTTGATAGTGTATGACATAATGTATATACAGTACATTAATTTTAGTATTTTTAGTATAGTCTAAATTTATACAAAAATTTAAATCTTTTACGTTGTGAATAGCGGTCCGTCCAATGATTGCAATATTTGATCTGATTTTATAAATCTGTAATTATATAATCAACTGTATTGTTATTCTTTATTATTGTTTAATTTTAAACATATTTTGTTATAGTTAAGTTAATCAAAACTTGCATATTATTAATTACTTTAAAATATTTTTATCATAAGTATCTATTCAAATGAGTAAATCACATTACCGTAAATACAATTATAATAGATAATGAAATGCATTTAATATATTTACGTTTGTTTAAGCAAATTTTATAATGTTAGTTATTGGCAAGTATTACAATAATATGAAATTTGGTATTTTTAAATATTTTTTTTTATTAATATTGACTTTTTAATTTCATTTTGATATTTAAAATATTTTATATAATATGTATTTTTTACACAATATTATTATTATTAAATTTTATACACTCACAAAATTTGTTAATTTATAATTCATGTTATGGATTGTTATGAACTTCAACTTCAACCACTTCCTGATGGCCAACATTACTGTCATCAGATGAAACACTACTTGTCCTAAATCTGGTCGATTCGGGAACCGATTCGCTTTCAAACTCAGACTCGTAATCTTCCGAGTCTTTGATTGGCGACGAAGAGTCCGAACTATTATCCAATTTAATTATTGTTTGTTGTTCACCGCCATCAACATCACTATCACTAACTTCTTCATCAATTTGTTGTTTATTATCGTCTTTTATAGTATCGCTGACAACATTTGTAGACATTATTTTAGTACCAGAATTTGCACTTTTCCTACAATTGGCACACATTTTATTACCGCTTACATTAACTATTGTAAAATGAGATATTTTTGATCCGTTTTTATGTTTATATTCACAACAAGTGCTGACACGAAGATCACGAATGCCATCAATGAGAACAGTGATAGAAAAGGGTCGGTCGCCGTGAGGTCGCACACCAAATGTCAGGTTCTCTAGAGTTACAAAATTATTATTAATAATAATAAAAAAGTATAAAATATATGTAAAGACCTCCTGGCATAACCATTGCGTCAAAGATGATAATAGCATTTCCTCCACTATGTAATTGTTGGCTAATCTGTATTCTTCTTGGAGTTAAACAATTAGCTGTCAATCCATTGAAACAAAGTGTCATAAATGAAGACATTGGCTTTTTTGATGAAAATAAAGTATATTTAGATTTATCAAATTCTTCGTCATTTTCATGAAAAGACAATCCATCCAATGATAAGATATCTGAAAATACTTCAACTAATTCTTTGTCTAATTTGACGTCCGGTTTGACTTTATTTGAGGATCTGATGCCATACGAAGATTTTGGTCTTTTATATTTTATAACTCTTTGTCTATTTTTAATAAACATTTTTGGTCTCATTTGTGCGACATTTCTTAAATATGATTTAAATGACACCGAAGACGAACTTTTCTTTGATCGTCCAGAATATATATATTTTGATTGATTTCTTGAAGTATAACTATTGGTAGAACCGGTATGTGTAGTACTATATGTATTTTTAGCCCTTTCCACTAATTCCCATTTAGCTTCTGATTCTTGAGTACGAGTGTCGTAAAATCGTCTCAAAGCCGACCGATCGGTGTTTCCTTTTTCCAATACTTCAGACAATAGTTGATGCAATTGTTGACGCCTTTCCTCTTCAAGTCTTTTTAATTTAATCAATGTCTCAGGTATTACCTTACCTTCGTTTGTCATCTAAATATTATTTATTTTATTAGTTTAAGTTATCAATAAATGAAACAAAAAATAAGTTCATAATACATACCAGTCCCGCGTGAATCATATGATTACGAACTTTAGGTTTATTAAAATACTGGTGAAGATGTGGATCGTTGAGACTATTATATGTACCCAAAGCGCTGGACACCAATCATATACAGTATATATATATAAAAAATTATTATAAATTAGTGTCAAATAATATGATATATACAGTATTGTTATATTAAAAAGTATTATACATCTATAATTGAATATTCTTTATTTTATATAATAATATAAGGTATAAAAAATAAAATGTTACGGTACTCGCAAAATTTTTTATTATTGGCAGCCACTGTCCACATTATCAATTGAAATAATTTTATACTGTATTAAAACAATTAATAATAATTGAATTTAATATCAATTTTTATTTACATCATCTTTACTATTGTTGCTGTTGTTACTGACAATCAATATGAATGTCAACAAATGTAAATCGATTTGTTTGTATTAATTATTTATTATAATAATATGTATATTTTAATGCAGTAATGTATAGTAGAATACCGGTAATTATATTTAGCACAATATTTATTTAATTTAATAATATTTTAGTTTATTTTTTATTTAAACTATAAAACCTTATTTTAAATGAAATAACTCAATAAAAGTATGTTTAAAAATATAGTTTATATAATAACATAATTATAGTATCAAAATATTGACTCTTAATTAATTAATTAAATTAGTATGTGATATATATTACCTAAATTTTTATACAATTTACACATCAATTATCAATCATTGAGTTGACGTCTTTGAAACCATAACGTAAGTCTTCGTCAAAAATCTTTGCAATAATATCTTCGACAACAACTGTTTCATCGATTTTCAATAGGTTTTCATATTTGTCTAATTGTATCCTACGATTCAATTCAATGAAAAACTCATTAATTAAACCGATTTTCAATTGTTTCACTCTTTGTTCTCTTCTTTTTTCTAATTTCTTGTCTTCTGATTCAACTGATTGTTGAATTTGAGTCCAGACGTCGTCAATACCTTCTCCAGTGACAGCTGAACACCGCAATACTTGCGGCCGTTTGACATAACTGATGAACTTTGTGGCCGACTTTATTTCAGCTGACATTTTGCGCGCGTGTTTCACGAGATCGCCGTCAGATTTAGTTACGACTATAATGTTTGCCATTTCAATGATGCCTTTCTTAATGGCCTGTAGTTCGTCCCCACCCGACGGCGCTACCAATAATGTCATCAAATCGCAAAGATATGACACTTCATACTCTGACTGACCCACTCCTACCGTTTCTATTATAATCACATCATAACCGGCGCTCTCGCACAGGGAGATAGCATTACCTGTCCGTACAATTGACTAACAAATTAGTTATTTATATTCAAATATGTCCTCAATTATAATAAATTTATATATCGGTCATACTTGTAGTCCGAGTGACTCCACCCATATGTCCACTGCTCGGCGATGGCCTTATAAAAGCTTTTGGATGTCTCGACAGATGAAACATACGAGTCTTGTCGGCCAAAATGGATCCGCCGTTGATGGCTGAAGAAGGGTCGACGGCCAGTACAGCAACCGATTTGTTGTACTTCTCGATGAGATTCATACCGAAAGTCTCAATGAATGTCGACTTTCCAGCTCCGGGGGCACCACTGATGCCCAATCGTAGTGTCGGCCGTTTGATCCTTACGTTGTGTTCATTGACCAGTTGTAACAATTGTCGTCTTATCGGTGATCTCTTGGACTCAACAACTGTTATGGCCCGCGATAGCGATGCTCTGTGGCCACGGATGAGACCCGTAAACAACTCATTGACCGGAGTGTTGGACAACACTGTATGCGATGTCATGTCTTGTGATGAATGTCTTGAAATCACTTCATCAGAAAAATTACAAATTTATTGATAAAAACTTTCCTTAATTTACATTAAAAGTCATTCAAAGCTATCATTGATTTCGTAATTTGTTTTTCAAATACATTTGACCGACAATTACGTCAATTCATTGATTATTGAATATAATGTAAACTAAAAGTCATTATTTTGTAATAACAATAGAGTCTAATAATGAGTCTAATAGTAACCAAACAATGACCACTCATTTCATACAATAATTAAAAAAATAAAAATATTAACTTATTGTTAACATAAAAAAATGCGTCAGCCGGGAGTCGAACCCGGGTCAACTGCTTGGAAGGCAGCTATGCTAACCGTTATACCACTGACGCAACATTTTATAGTATGTTATTATATTTCTATATAAATATTAAGATATTTTCAATATAATTAATAGTATATTTTATTTAATGTAAAACAGTTTATTTAATTAACTATTTATACAATCCATAGAATCACTATTATATAACATTGTGTGCCATTATTTTCAACAGTTAGTAAAATACATTAAAAGTCAATTGTATTATCACTGTCTATAATTTGGGTCCAATTTATGTCGGGGGTGTAGCTCAGTGGTAGAGCGTCCGCTTCGCATGCGGAAGGCCCGGAGTTCGATCCCCCGCACCTCCACTCTTTATTTTGTTTACCATTTCATTAATATAATTCAATTTTGAATAAATAATTTTGCTTAGTATGTATTCAGTGTTCATAAACTTTAATTAATTAATTGTATTTTATGTAATGTTTTTAATGTAATTATTAGAGAAATTCATGTGTTTAATGAATATTTATTGATTAAAATAAATAATTATATATATATATTGTAATATTACATACATAACATATATATATATATATTATGAGTATACATGTGTACAGTTAATCTGTAAGTTTAAATATATAATTTTTATTTTGTCACAACATTTTTAAATAATATAATTATGTTTTTAAAATCAAGACGTGTGATGATAATGGCGTTACCAGTGCTTAAAGATTTGCATAGCACTGAACTCTTTACTTTAGATCTCATATTTTTATTTTCTGAATAATTTTAAGTTATCTTTTAAAAATAATAATAATTTTTAAAAACTTAATATTATGTATTCATATAATACTTTTTCGCATACGATTTACATTAAGTTATTTTAAAAAACCAAATTTTCTATTAACATAATTATCTATCGTTAATAATGTTATATATTATTATTATACATATCTATATTTAATATTTGTTAAATGTTTATCTATTGTGTGATATATATTAATCTATTATATAATTATGTAATATATATCTATATATTTAATAATTTTGTGGATAAATTTCTAATCTATTGTTCGCCACCGGATTCGCTGGTTTTACTGAAACCTCGTTTCAGACCCGAGATAACCGAACCGCCCATCTCTACGATACCTTTGCCTGCATTGACCAGTGCTTCGGAACTTTGTTTTACCTATCAATATATACAATAAAATTTTATATATATTAAAGTAAATTACATTTATTATTATTATTCAACTTAATTAAATTATAATGTTTTAATCAAATAAAAAAGAAGCTTAGTTACTTAATTAATTTTTTCAAAATAAATGTATATATAAATTAAAATTATAATTACATTTACAAGCATATATATATATATATGTATTTCATTATTTAAATAATTTTTTTTAATTTGTAGTTATAATTGTGTATATTTATAGTATAATATATTTATTAATATATTGTAACACTATTTTATTGGTAAACCATTTTTGATAGCAAACCATTTTGATTAATGATTATATTTCGTGCTTTTAAATCATATTTCTATCACTTACTGTAATTATAATAACTTATTGATCTAAGTTTATAATATTTAATTTTTGGTTTATTTAGTATATATTTGTTTATATCTTATTTATATATATATATAATATTAATGTAAATTATCTAAATGACAAAGTCATTCAAATCATTATTATATCATATAATATGACAAAAATGAAAGAAACTGCAAAAATACTGAACACAACTAATTCTATACAGAATTTTATAGAATATTTGTTTGAATAAAAAAATTTATATTATATTTACTAAAAATATTGAATCTATGTTAGTAAATAAAATAGTCAATTAATATAATTAGTGTAATTACCGCATTAGATGCCACTTGACTTATATTTTCCACAGCACCAGAAGCAGCTCCCAAAATGCCTTCCCTCTGTTGACCCGCATTTCCACTGCCGGGCTCTACCGAGTCTATCGATTGCTCTTTGTTGAGGTCATCAGTGGCCGCACCGAAGTCATAGTTCTGTGTGGTAGACATAATGTTTGCTTCAAATATTTTATGTATAAATTAATTATTAATTAAAATCCCTTTTAATACACAATTCACAGCTTATAACGAGTACTTCAATTGAATATATTTTTCAGTTATAATATATATCTATGAATCACTGTTTATGTGAAGCGCAAGCGTTTTCACTAAACTTTCGATGCCATTGTATAATATTTGCACATTTACTATATATAATATAACAAAACATATAATATAATAACTATATACCTATTTTCTGGGATAGTTGTAATGGACAACCATCTATGTGAGCACTGGTATACAGTATACCGAGGATCTGGAAAATCGATATTTCAAGTTGCGATAAATGCTGGTATATATATATATAGTATATGTTTGTGTATCGAGAAAATCAATTGCACATCAAATACAAGGATTTTCTGTACATTTCATAGTTTAAACAGAAATTGCTTTATATATGCAAACGGATATATGCTATTGAAAACAACTATCATTTGCACACAACAATCACTATCATTAAAACGATCACCACTTACTGCATCTTATTTATCATGCATTTAATTAAATTACAAAATTATTTTATGCTCATAATGTATACATAATTTTTAAATTACAATAATTTATTGTAATAGCAATTTTTCACATCTTTTGAATATTTTTTATTTACTCTGAAATAGCATTTTTATAACATTATAATAATAAATGTTATTAGCTTAATTTTAAAATTAATTATAGATTATATGCTAAGATATAAAATTTAGTTTGTAAATATTTGGTAATTGTTATTTAATAATATTTTTTATTCAATATATTAATAAATTATTTTGGTTTTTTGAAAAAATATTAATTTATAAAGAAAGCTATTTTATTAAATCAATAAATTAAAACTCAATTACAAAATTTTAAATTATTTAAAGTAATAATTTATAAAAATAAAATTTATTCCAAAATTGCAATTGTTTAATTAACATTAATATTGGTTAAAACATTTTGTAAAAAATTGTATACAGATTTTTTTTTAAATATTTGAAACTATTGTTTTCATGCTAAACATCTATTGAAATAAATTGCAAAATTAATTATTATACCAAAATGTAATTTATGACAAATATAAAGATATGAGTGAATTCAAACCATATAAAGATTAATCACAGACCTCATCGCTACAGACTTTTAGTCAATGGCTTCATATAAGTTACATAACTTTTTTAATGGCAAACAACTGCTGTATACTTAATATAACTATAATTATTAATAAAATTCAATATATTTTAATGTTTAAAATGTCGGTTTTAAGCGGTAGCCGATGACATATGTTTATCATTAATTGGGTCACCGCTGACCACATAAAATATGATCCAATTTTTATAGTTTTACTTTATTTGGGTCGAAGTCTATTCAAACAAAACATCACAGCTTTAATATAATTTTATAAAATAGATTTAGATAAACAAACAATTTATATAATAATATTAAGTGTAATATAATATAAATATAATAGTTATAAAAATAAGTATAGTATTGTACATATTTTATTACATTACATAGTTTAACACTTGACAATAAATTGTTTGATCACAAACTTGTGTTTTGTTGACCATTCAATGCCCAAAATGTTGTCCAAAAACCAAAATCATGTTAACTAAAATTAACTAAAACTTTATAAACATAAAAACATTTTGTGTTACAATGAAAAATAAATTTATATTGATAATTAAAATTACTAATTTGGTTTTGTATGTTTAAAGTATGTTTAAAAAATAATTATGTTATTGATAGAATATTATTTTAATATAATTATAATAAATTATACTGTAAATGTTGTTTTTCCAGATAAAAAACTAAAAATTTTATTAATTTAATGTTAATTAATTTTTATCTTAATATTATAACTTAATCGAGTTATTAAATAAAAACAACTTTAAAATTACAATTTTGTAAATATTAACTTTTAAATATACATATTTTATTAAAAATAATTAATTAATCCTGGAAATTCATCAAATTTACATGGGAGTATTTTGATTCATATACATATATTCATATATATGAAATAATTTTGGATATTTGTATTTTAATTATTTAAGATCAAATGTTTTTTGATATTATAAATTTGGATATTATTATTTTAGAAATTTTAATTTTAGATATTTTGAATTTGGATGTGAATTAGATATTTCGATTTTGGGTATTTTGAATGAGACTCTTATAATACGGTAGTATAAGCCTACGCATAACCAAAACTATTACAAACAACACCTAAAGTTTGTCATTAAAGAGATAATTAAAATATATTTTATTATAAATTATATTAAGTTTCATTAGAAATTTTTAGATAATATTATTATCTTATTATTATTAATTAAGTTTATATGAAAATTTATTTAAAAATACTGTATAATAATGCAATAAGTTTTATTTTTACATTTCTCTCATATCGTTTCCATAATTTATCAGATTTTAAAAAATTTTATTTGAATTATTGTTATTGTTATTATTATTATTAATAGACAATAAACTAGATATTAATGATAAAAATTTTATTATATTTAAAATTTTCTTAAATAAAATATTCAATATGAAATACATATTGAAAAGCCAATAACAATAAATGACAATAATTTATCTTAGCTTTTGACACAATTATAGTATGCAGTACTTCAATAATAATGAAAATATTTAACTAAAGAAAAGAGAGAGAGAAAGATAATGCAAACATATTTTTGGGCGAAGTTGTGTTAAAAAGTCTATTAA